TTAAGAAAGGTGTTAAGGAACAGCCAGGGATATATAGACCAGTGAGCCTAACATCGGCAGTGGGCAAGTTGTTGGAGGGAATCCTCACAGACAGGATTTACATGTATTTGGAAAGGCAAGGACTGATTAGGGATCGTCAACATGGCTTTGTGCATGGGAAATTGTGTCTAACAAACTTGAGTTTGTTGAAATAACAAAGAGGAATGATGACGGCAGAGCATTGGACATTATCTATATGGACTTCGGTAAGGCATTTAACAAGGTTCCTCATGGTAGATTGGTTAGCAAGGTTAGATCACATGGAATAGAGGGAGAACTAGCCTTTTGGATACAGAACTGGCTCGAAGGTAGAAGACAGAAGGTGGTGGTGGTGGTGGAGGGTTGCTTTTCAGACTGGAGGCCTGTGACCAGCAGCGTGCCACAGGATCGCTGCTGGGTCCACTGCTTTTCATCATTTATATATATGTTTTGGATGTGAACGTAGGAGGTATGGTTAGTAAGTTTGCAGATGACACCAAAGTTGGAGGTCTAGTGGGCAGTGAAGGTTACCTCAAAGTACAATGGGTTCTTGATCAGATGGGCCAATAGGCCAAGGAGTGGCAGATGGAGTTTAATTTAGATAAATGTGAGCTGCTGCATTTTGGAAAAGCAAAGCAGGGCAGGACTTATATACTTAATGGTAAGGTCCTGGCAAGTGTTGCTGAATAAAGAGACCTTGGAGTGCAGGTTAATAGTTCCTTGAAAATGGAGACGCAGTTAGTTAGGATAGTGAAGAAGGCATTCGGTATGCTTGCCTTTATTGGTCAGCGCATTGAGTATAGGAGTTGAGAGGTCATGTTGTGGTTGTCCAGCACATTTGTTAGGCTACTTTTGGAATATTGCATGCAATTCTGGTTTCCCTCCTATAGGAAGGATGTTGTGAAACTTGAAAGGGTTCACAAAAGATTTACAAGGATGGTGCCAGAGTTGGAGGGTTTGAGCTATAAGGAGAGGGTGAATGGGTTGGGGTTATTTTCCCTGGAGCATCGGAGGCTGAGGGGTGACCTTATAGAGGTTTATAAAATCATGAGGGGCATGGATAGGGTAAATAGACAAGATCTTTTCCCCAGGGTGGCGGGAGTCCAAAATTAGAGGGCATAGGTTTAAGGTTAGAGGGAAAGATTCAAAAGGGACCTAAGGGGCAACTTTTTCACACAGAGGGTGGTGCGTGTATGGAATGAGCTGCCTGAGGAAGTGGTGAAGGCTAGTAAAATTACAACATTTAAAAGGCATCTGGAAGGGTATAGGAATAGGAAGAGTTGAGAGATATGGGCCAAATGGGACTAGATTTATTTAGGATATTTGGTCATCATGGACGAGTTGGACAAAACGGTCTCTTTCTAGGCTGTACATCTCCATGACTGTATGTTGAAAATACACCTTTATTCACTTTCAAATATCCCAATTTTTAAAAATTTATTCAGTGTGTGTGGACTTCACTGGTTGTAGTCTCTATTCCAGAGTCAGTGGTCCAGATTCAGACTTCTTCAAGAACACTCCACCTGTGGCTTAGAATGTCTTTCCAGCTCACAAACCTGAATGAGAAATTTTCAGAGAATTTCCCTCACCATTCAAAAGGATCATGACTGATTCGACATTCTTCATGCCCATTTATAACCCTCGATTCCCCGACTGATCAAGAATCTATCTCAGCATTAAATATACACAAGGACTCTGCCCCCACAGCTCTCCGTGGTAAGGAGTTCTAAAGACTCTCAACCCTCTGAGAAGAAACTCATCTCACTCTTAAATTGGTGCCCCTTAGTTCTAAGATTATGCCCTCTGCCCATAAGGGGAAACATCCTCAGCAGCATGTACCTGGTGAAGCCCCTTAAGAATCCTATATTTTCAATGAGATCACCTCCCATTCTTCTGAACTCCAGTGAGCAGGTGCCCAACCTGATTAGATTTTGCTCATAAAACAATTCCTCCATGTCAGCAACCACCCTAAGGAACCTTCTCTGAACTGCTTTTTTTCCCTTAAATAAGGAGTCTAAAGCTACTCAAATGACCCTACTCTTCTATTCCAACACCCTCGAAAAAAGAGCTAACATTATCTGCTACACCTTTGAGCTAGCTTTCTGTGTTTCATTGTGACTTTCTGTACTTTTTCTCCATTTAAGTAATATGCTGTCCTTTTGTTCTGCCTTTCAAAGTAAACAACTTCACATTTTCCCACATTATCCTCCATTTGAAAAATACACTATATCTATTACAATGGTGTTGTGAAAGTGATGTGGATATAACAAAAATTTCACAAATTTCTTTGTGGATATAACAAGCACAGTTGTTAACAGGGGAACTGGTAGATGTTATGTATTTGGATTTTTAAGAAGGCACCCAATAAGACGTCATATAAAAGGTTATTGTACAAGGTAGGACTTCATGGTATTGAGGGTAATATACTAGCATGCACTGAGGATTAGTTAACACACAGAAGGCAAAGTTGGGATCAATGAATTTTAACCAGATTGGAAAGACATAACTAGTGGAATGCCACAAAAATCAGTCCCGGGACCTCATTCAATTACTACAACATTAATGACTTGGAGGAGGAGGCAGAAATTTGCAAGGGGATTTGGAATGAGTGGACAAAAACTTGACATATGGAGTTTAGTGTAGTAAGGTGAGAGATCATGCACTTTGGTAGGAAGAATCAAAAGGCAGATTATTTAAATGAAGACAGACATAGGAATCTGTGAATGAAACAAAAGATTAGCATGCACCAATAAAGTGGTAATGGAATTTTGCCCTTTATTGCGAGGAGGTTGGAGTTTAAAAATAGCGAAGTCATATTCCTATAGTACAGGGTGTTTGTGTGGCCACACCCAGAGTACTGTGGACAGTTTTGGTCCTCATATTTAAACAGGATACATTAGCATTGTAGGCAGTTCAAACAGATTCACTAGGCTGATTCCTGCGGTGAAGCAATTGACTAGTCCAGAATGGGTAAACAGATTAAGCCTTTATTTATTAGAGATTCAAAGGATGCCAGATGATACTATTGAAACATATAAGATTCTGAGATGTTGAGAGACTGTTTTCCACTCATGGGGGAAATCTCAAAATAAGGGACATAATTATTGAGTGAGGAAGATTAATTTAAAGTGGAGATGCAAGGGAATTTCTTCTTTCAGTGTAGTCAGTGTCTGGAGAGTGGCTAATGTTGTGTTTTTGTTTCAGAAGGGATGTAAGGAGAAGCCTGGGAATTATAAACTATAGACCTGTGAGTCTGACTTTAGTGGAGGGTAAGTTGTTGGAAGTGACCTTATAAAGGTTATAATGGATATAAATAAGGCAAATGGCAAGTGTCTTTTCGCTAGGGTGGGGGGATTTCAAGACTAGGGACATATTTTTAAAGGTGAGAGGAGAAAGATTTAAAAAAAAAGACATGAAGGGCAATTTCCCCCCCCCCCCCCCAGTGTGGTTCATCTGTGGAATGAACTTCTAGAGGGAGTTTAAAAAGACATTTAGATAAACATATGAATAAGAAATGTTCGGATGGATATGGGTCAAAGTCAGGCAGGTGGGACTAGTTTAGTTTGGGATTGTGGTCTGCATGGACTGGTTGAACCAAAGAGTCTGTCTCCGTGCTGCACGACTCTAGGTGTGGAGCTAGATGGATTTTTGAAACGAAAGAGTTGAAGGCTGTGAAGAGCTGGAACAAAAGAGTCATCGAGACCTGGGATAGAACAGCGGTGATCTAATAGAATGTCAGGGACAGATTAAGAGACAGAGTAGGCAAAAACTTGGCAGTCAAAATATAATTTGGCAATGTGAAATTATGCATTTTGGCAGAGAGAATAGAGGAGCTAAATATTATTTTGATGGAAAAAGACTGCAGAAAGCTACAGCACAGAGATTTTGCCATAAATCACAACAAGTTCATGTTTAGCAGATAAAAGGAAGCTAGCTTTTCATCCAAAGGGAATGGAATATTAAAATAGGGAAGCCTTGCTAAAACTTAAAGCACTAGTTAGACCATACCTAGACAATTTTGGTCCCCTTATCAAAGCAAAGATATACTGGGCATTGGGAGATATTCCAGAAAAGATTCTACCGGTTGAACTGTGGCATGTAGGATTTTGTTATGAGAAGTTGACTAGGTTGAGCCTGTACTCAGTTTGGAAGAACAAGAGACAACCTTATTGAAACACACAAGATTCTTGAGGGTATATGGAGTGTTTGTTTCCCCTCATGAGTGAGTCTGTGCGGGCATAATCTCAGGTTAAGGAATCAGAGATGAGAGGAATTTCATCTGCGAGTATCTGTGCAACTCTTTACCACAGAGGACTGTTGAAGCTTGTTCATTGAGTATATTCCAAGGCTGAGGTGAACAGATTTTTAAACCAGAAGGGAATCAAGCGTTATGGGGAGAAGACAGGAAAGTGACATTGAGCATTATGAGATCAGCCATGATCTTAAAGAATAGTGGAACAGACTGGCTGGGCTGAAGGGCCTATTTCTGCTCCCATGTACTTATAATTTTACAATAAGGGTAGCCAGCAGTTTGTGGTCCTCACATAATGCTATTTTGCCTTTGTTCCCATGATTTCATTTTTCATTATTAGCATGAACAGCTAGTCCTCTCAGGGCTACGTTTATGCTACTCTCTTTTCCAGGGATTGTGTGTAGTGCATTTTTGTCAGTGGGTCAGTTGGAAGGTTTTAACGCTTAGCAACTTAAATTTACTGCATGCGGTATAGAGTTATGCAACAAAAACTAGTTAGCTTCCAATCATCATGATGGAATTTAGGATAAGAGTAATTACATCAACAGAAAAAAAAACAAGCTTCTGGTAACCATAAAAATTAATCCTGAAGTGTAGATATCAGACACATCTTAATGGTCATCGACACCAAGCCTTTAGTATGTGAAAAATTGATAACATAAATATTTACAAAACCACGTGAAACAATTTCTTTGATCTTTTCAAGAACAAATCAAAAATAAACCCCAAATTTTGCATACAAAATTCTATTCGTAGAATATACATTAATATATACATCGGACAATTCATCCTATTTTCAATACATTTTCATGGTTTAGTTTGTTTAAGTACTGTGTTTGCTTTTGACATGGTTCAGCATAGGTTGCAGCCTGTACTGAAAGACTAACTATTTACTTTTTTGTTTTGCAATTTGAGTTTATACGATTTATATTTTTAACATTTCCTTCAAGAGGAAAAATAATTTAAGCATGTTTATACTTCCAGTTAGTAAGCTTATGTACATTGTGTTACAAGAAACATCTACTGACAAACTAACTAACTTTATGGTACACAATAATGTTCCAATCAATCTTGTTCTATTGACCAAATCAAAGATGTGAAAAAAGACCTTTAAAGCACAACTTTGAATTTAAAAAGCAAGTCATTTAAAGGAAATGTGAACCTTAACGTGCCCTGCCAATATGTTACAGCATCCAAAAAAATGACTGTCACTCTCTCCTGTGACATTTGCTTCATGTTTAAAATTACTTCAACTTTGATCTTGTTTCTCCTATACTTCTAATATGCAGCTCTATGAAAACTCAAATTTGAAATACTTCATATTTTATTCTAGATTTTATTCACTACCATTTATTTGCACAAAGGAATTTTACCAAAGACTTAGAAGCCTCAACAAAATAAAAAGACTGCCAAGTAAGTTCAAAATTGGTAAAAGGAACATTTAAAGTTGGGATATAGATGTAGGCAGTTTATATTTTCTATTCCCCACCATGTATACTTACTTTTCTAAACTGGAATGTTTAGTTTATTAGACCAGCTAAGAAAGAATCTCACCCAATAGCATCTGTAGGGTTAGCTTGATAATTGGCTGAGGACATGCATTTATAACCAGCAACACAAATATAAACTACAAGAACACTGGGATCTCAGATCAAATCAATATACGGGAGCACTTTTTTTTATAAAAGGATAACCTAATTTTAAAAAGACCACATAAAATAAGTTTTGATTGCTTGTACATCAAGATTAGTTGCAGAGTTTATTATAAATGTCATATTTTTGTTTGTTGTTCAACTCATTTCAGGCATGTTGTTCGTGTTCTTTGCTCTGTTGCAAAGGTTCAGTTAATTCTACACCAGTTAGCTCAGAAATAACAGCAACTCATTTCACAACAATGTAGAATGCAAAAAATAAATGTAACTATAGTCCCAGAGGACCATAGGACAGTTCACTCATTAAAGAGATGAGACTGGTGGTGAATTTAACCTGAGGGTCACCATGGCTCAGGCGAGGGATGAGGGTGAGAAGCTAGGACCTTCATGGTGACCTCAGCTAGTGCAGGAATTGAACTCACATCATTGGTGGCATCATTCTTGCATCACAAACTAGCTATCCAGCCAACTGAGCGAACCAACACCAACAAAGTAGAAACAGATCATTAACAAATGCACCATAATCCATATCTCAAATGCAACATTTTTAATTTTGGCATTGTTCAGTTGGTGGCCTACCACATCTATGAACAACACAATCCAGTAGTAATTTTCCAAAACATGTATATTTTCTACAATGCTGAGCAAATCCATAATGGAATAGTCTAGCTGCTTAAACTTGGACAAGAAAATGACAGGATGGTTATGGGACCACCAGATGAAACAAGATATTATGTTCTTGAATTTTTTTCCTCTTAGACACTAGACGTTTTAAAAAAACACAAAATATACTTTACATTTAAGGCACTGTTTTTTCCTCAAGACAGTTGTAGCTTTATTAGAGTACATAAATAAGTTCAACAGTAATAATATTAATTGAATTGCACATTAATTAAGATTTTTAAAACTCATTTTAGGATGAGAACTTTACATCTTAGATATTGAGCCTGTCCTGCTCTGAAACAGGACAACCCCTGTACAAATTTGCTTTTTTGGTTATTCATTTGCATCTCGGTTTAATGTGGTGCAATCTTCTCAGATCAATGGGAAAATGGTTGGGTCAGTTTGAATCAACTATATCAAATGAACACATGAAACAAAAAGATGTAAATCAGGAAACAAAAATCTGGAATCAGTCCTTTTACATTCACATTTGTGCAAACTTGACAGGGAGTGTGACAGAGTTCTTTGAACTTTCGAGATAAAAAATAGTGTCAAGTTGCAAATAAATTCAGTCAGAACCTGACCAATGGCCCAATCCTCAGCATTTGCTCCTAAAAAGAGGCAAATTATAAGTTCCCTTGTATGTCAATATATACACAAGTACTATTTTGAGTGAACTTCTTTCTTTAGCCTTTAGGAACAGGGTTACATAGGAATAAGTAAATGCAAAGGTAAAGAAGCCCAGAACAATATTTTAAGGTATATTTTCAAAGAAGAAAGGAACAAAGTTCAAATTAGTGCTGGGCAAATTTAGAACTACTATCAATAGTTTTAAGTGCATGGAAAGCTCTCAAGGTGAATACTGTTATCATTTGACGTGTTTGCAGTTATGCTGAGGGACAGTAGTTTTTTTCTTCCTTGACAGTTGAGCTAAGTTTGACAGACTGGCCTTTAACATCTGCTCTTACACTGTGGCAGGGCCCAAGGATACAAAGTGAAGTAATTGGAGGTTTTAAGCACTGATGTCACGTGTGCTGTAGCTGCAGGCGTATTCCTTAATAGGTAAATTCTTGCACACACAAGAGCAGATTGGAGGCAAGGATCTTTGCCAAGGTATTGTGTATTATAGTATAACAGAGGCAGATGTAATAATTTATCAAACTGCCTTTGATAGATTTATGTATTGATGGGAAATACCCATAAAGGGACTAGAAACCAAGCTGAGCCTTTAGACCCAGTTGCTTAAAAAACCAAGGAGAATTAAATATATGAACTTTGATGGAGTCAACAGTTGGACAACATTAGTATTAGTACAACAACTTCTCAATATAACATTTGCTGCATTGCAATCTTGGATACATCACTGACCATTTCCGCATTGAAACAAAATCTGTTAATAAAAGCCCTCTGATTTTGGCCAAAACATGTTCCCTTTGAGACATTATCAGGGAAAGAGATCATGTCAGTATTAACATCAAAATTTTCTCCTTTGCCATTTTCTAATTTGAATAATTGCAGACAGTAAAGGATCTGTTTTACAAATATAAAATCATTCATTTCATTTCCACCATTTCTAACATGTATTTAACCTGTTCATTTGTTGGAGATTTAAATTTCATTTTGCAAATTTCTCTTTCCTACCCAATTATTTCTCCCATTATGAATTGAGAGACTGAAAAACAAATTGAGCTCCCAAAGACACTGGGAATTTCTCAGCATCTTAAAGCACCATTTTATCACAAAAATGTCAATTATTATTGATTGAGACAATGAAATTAACATTGCATCTATACTTTAAATATTGATTCAAACCTTAAATTACTGGAACTGATTTGTAAGATTATTAATAAATTTGTGAATTTAATTTTTTTTTCCTTCCACTAGAAAAATAATTTACTTACGCTTTAATATTAGTTACATATTTCCATTTAATCTTGTAGAATTAGCAATTGTCACAATATTAAGATCTAAAAAATCTATTATTGTCTATAGCTTATTGAGAAGGCAAAAATACTGAACATCTCATGAATTTTGGGACAGGAATATATACTAATCTGCTGAAGGTCATCGTTAAGAGGAAGGCTACTATCAACATTTCTGCATTGGTAACTCAGTGGATAAATTTACTATCCAGTAATTTATTAAGATAGAGTAATCAATCAGATCTTGGATTTAGTCTTGATTTGTAATGAATTCAGTCATGTTCTTTAGAGTTGTATAGAAATGATCCAAGCACTTCTGACTGAAAGTCTATAAGAATTGTTTCTCCTGAACATGATCCAATCATCTTGGCTGTGAAAGGTCTACATAGTGTTATACTCTGGTAACAGTGGGGTCAACAGGTCCTGGTCCTCAGACAATGTTTAGATTTGTAACTTGGAATAATTATAATCGGGGAGGTACCAAAGACCTGCCAGTTCTATATCCCAGTACAAACTCAGCACTTTTGGAAAAGGAAATACAGGAAACAATCTGTTCACTCTTCAAATGAAAGGATAACTTAAAACTAGTTGAACAAAATGACTTGAATGATCAACAATGCAGCTGGCATGAAATTCATGCAGATCAAAATTTGATTTTTTCTAAAACTTCTGCTTTCAATGACATTTCACACATCATTTTATGTACAAAACTGGAGTGACTAATCATTTAACAGGGAGACACAGCTTACAATAACATTTAACTACAGGACTTTCAACATTACACTCTCATTGATTAGCTGATATAGTTCATTCCTTTAGGAAGAAATGTTTATGCTTTTAATTTTTCTACAAAACTGAAGATAAAGTACCTCATTGTGATATTTCAGACACCTCAATGTTGCATCAGTATTCCATGATACAACAGCAGCACTAAGTATATACAAAACTAATTCAAAGTACAATAAAAACAAATTATTTCGTTAAGTGACAAGTACCCTTCCAAACTTTGGATTTCTCACTAGAATTAAGCTGCCATTTCTACTTGGTTTCAAAAAAGTGATTCATGAAGAAGCTGAGAAGGGGGAGATCAACTAATCCAATTCCATGAAAATCAATTAAGGGAAAGATTGTAGAGCTAACTCTCTCTGTAACAAACCAGCCAACACAAATGGGCTGGTTCATTTAAAAATTAAAAAAAAAACACATTTCCAGGCATGAATAAGAAAACCTTTTTTTAAAAAAGGATGGGGGGGATAGAGAATGGGGTGCTGCTGTTGGTGTTGGGCAGAAGGACAAAGCTGTATTTAGTACCAATTGTTTCCAGCGTTCTTTTAAACATAAATGACAGTTGAACAGCTTAGAGTAAGATACAACAAAAAAAATGCTAATCAATATTTTTAAAATAGTTCAGTAAAGTTTCTATTCCATAACAGTTTGTGAAATAGATTCATCCAGCATTTTGTATCTCCTTCAATCTCAATATTGAGGCGCCATTTAAAGATCACAGCAAAAGTGTAAGCTTGCCAGAAAAACAAACCTCACTATCCAGTTGCGGTTCTCCATCACATCGTATGTTGCCATGTTTGGTTAATTACATCAAGTACCCGTTTATCAGAGTCAGCCATTACTACAGAATCCGGGATATTGAGGTCACTTTGGCTTGTCCTACATATTGCATTTGCCCTTTACTAAACAGGAGAAGGACTCGGAAATTTGGAATAGTTAGTAATCAGCTCGAAGGATGAATTTGGTCTTTACTGGATAGGAAGGGGTGCCACAGCCACCATTGCAAAATGATGAAAGTGGATAAACACACTTCACACAACTGAAGATGTTAGGAATTTAGTCCAATCACTCAAAACATCCTGCTCTCAAATGGTGCAAGGCTTCCCAGTTGCATTCTAGATGGAGATTGAGTTTTGTGAAAGCAAGAAAAACGGATATGCAGCAATGACCATCAGAATTCTTGTTGGCTAATCATGGAGGGTAAGGATTTGTGATTTATGCACGCAGAACAATCATGAAACTGTAATTTAAAACATATTTTTCCCTCCTGGATGCAAGGGGAGAGATTAGGAGCCTGAAAAGATTTTTAAAAATAGAGACTGAAAAGAAAAGATAAATTACAATTATACAACAGTGTAGTAAGTATATTATTTTATAATAAAACGTATATCTGCTGCATCCTCTGCACTTCCGTGGTAGTCCTATATTTGTGAGATGTAGAGGTTGAGAAGACACTAATTGGGAGAACAGATCTTGCCAATCTGTTGCAAACAGTAAGGCTATGCTCAAACTGCATCATCCTCATCTCTTCCCAAAAGGAGATTGTTTTTGTCTGGATCATGTAAAGGAATGTTGGTGACAGATCGCCTTTCAGACCTGAGAGAGTTAATGGAGGCTCGGCTGTAGTGAACTATTCGGTCCAATAGGCTTAGCTTTGGTGAATCCCGCCTCATTTCACCCATACCAATATGCACACTGATGTCAGACAGAGATTTCTGTTTCATGTGATTCCGAGCTCGGTTCTCCAACCTGGCAGGATCGGGTTTCTTGTAACTGAAGCAACAAAAAATAAAGGGGATACACTGCTATAAAAAAACAGGTCATAACACAAGTCAAATTGTCCAAGGAAAAAATATTAGTAATATTGCAAAAACATTCAACTTCTGAAGGTATTAAAATTTCTTCTGACATTTCCCCTATATAGCTCCCTACTGCACATTGATACAGTCCCATGAGCTGCCATTCAACTTATCACGATTTGCATGACATCTTGATGCTGCCCATATTTAACACTACTGACTCATGGTTAGGAGTTACTTAATTTTTGCCCTCTCCCAAAGTCAGAACCCCCTTAGGTCTATTATCCACTGGATTCAAGAAGGAATACTTACAGTTTTAATAATAGAGAAGAAAGCACCACAGAAACAGATGACGCTGCCATCGCAGCAGATCCCATCCATGGTTGTAATATCAGTCCCACAGGTAAGAAAACCCCTGAAAAGCAAAGAATTAATCATTCTGAGAGAAAGCACTATGTATTCAGTGATTTTCACATTTATCCTGAAATGTATTACTCATAATTTGAAATTAACAAGTTATCTTTCCATACAAATAAAATTGTTCAAAATCATAGGTATTTGTGTAGTACATCATATGTTGGAATAAAAGAGTAATTTTCTGATTTCAAATGCATTTGTAGTTGTCAGCTTACACTTTGTGATTCGCAAAGAACATACAGAAAATAATACATAAAATAAGAGTTATTCAGAAGCATTTTCGTACTGGTGTTCAAATTGTAAATAGTTTTTGTCAAATAGACCCAAGACGTGGCAAATGACATGGAACTTCTTTCTGGAGGACAGTGGAAGAAGGTGGTAGAATGGAAAAAAAATGAAATTTGGACACAGGCAGTTAATTTCTTAAAGAGCGAACTTAACGGAGTTGTAGCTAAGTTGATCAGTGATGAGTGAAGCTTATTTATTGCAAATGAATTTTATTACGGAAGGTAATGCAATTCAGAAGAACAAATCACAGGCATGTATACTCCATGATTAGATAATGCTGACCACCCCCCACCCCACCAAAGATGATATTGAGACAGTGGTGTTAACTGACTTGTATTTCTTTATGACTTGAGTAGTCAGTGAGGCAATAAACAGAACACATAGGATGCTGGATTATATTTATAAATTGTGAAGCTGTAAGGCCAGAAGCCATACTGAAGCTGTGGATGCCGTGATGAGGCTCACACTCAGGTACATTTCAAGTTATTGCAGTATGACGTTAGAGATAGGCTGGGGTGGGGAATTCAGGTGCCAAACTCCTTAATTGATCTCCAGTGTCATCAGGAAGAATTATAATGAATAATTGATATGAAGGAAATAAGCCTCAAACAGCACTTCTAGAAAAGCTATCAGTAATTTTTGTGCCTACAAAATATTAAATACAGAAATCTCTCAATGCAGCCAAAAAGCTATTTCAATCTCCCTTCACTCTTGGATCAAAGTTTATTTTAAATGACTAATGACTGCAACTCCTCCACTTCCCTGACAAAGTTTTTTTTAAAAAATACCATGATCTAAATCAGGAGATATCCATCCGTTTTTTATTTTGTACATTCACTACTCAAAGAACTTTAAAACAAAAACACTGAACACATATTTAACACACTTACCAGCTGCTATGGGAATACCGACAATATTATAAATTAAAGCAAACACAAAATTTATCCGAATTCGCTGGACGGTTTTTTTCGACAAATGAATACTTGCCACTACGTCAAGTAGATCGTTCTGTGGAGCAGAGATGAGTAAAGAAAAAAATTACTACAGCATACTTGCCACAGTGAGGAGGTGTGTGTGAATGTATAATCTATAATCTTATGCCCTGTATGGCTCGACAGTGTTGTTTTAGGGCTCATTTTGGAAGTGTGTCATATGACAAAGGCAGCAGGCTCAGTGATGATAGCACACTGTATTGCTAATGTTCACTAGTCTGAGAGAATACGACAAGCCAAAAGGCAAAACTAAAGGAGATATGAAAACATAAAAAAATTGGATATTTCTGTAATAGAGAATTGTAACCCATCTGCTATGATGCTCTCTTAGAATGTCTAGTTGCTGATGGCCACACTTTCTATTTTTTACTTCAACAGTTCAATTGTAATATGTATCAAATGTTCACGTTTTCACAATATTGTAAAGAAATGTTTATATAATTTATTATCATGTTTTAAAACAACCCAAATTCCAAAAGAGAGGCGTATGGATGTGGGTAGTGATACGAGACATTTTTAAAAAAATAATCAGGAACCCATTCTGGAATAAAGATCTGAGCGCACTAATTCCAGAGGCCTTTGACAGCAATCAACTGTTTGGGAGAACCTCTGAAATATTATGGAATGAGACGTTTAAACTCATGGGTTTATGACAGGAAACAAACACATTAAGGCATTAAATAAAAACCGAAAAAACTGCGGATGCTGTAAATCAGGAACAAAAACAGAAGTTGATGGAAAAGCTCAGGTCTAGCAGCATCTGTGAAGAAAAATCAGAGTTAATGTTTCAGGTCCAGTGACCCTTCCTCAGAACTTAAGGTATTAGTTTATTTCAGATTTCAAAACACTAGAGTTTTCATTGAGAAGAATTAAGAGTTGAATTCAGAAGCAAGTTTTAGAGGGTTCATTCAGTTCAATTCAGAGGAAGCCAGTTATTGCATCATCAATGTTTTCTGTATTTTGGAGAAATTTCCAAACCAGGAGTGTTTGGGATTGAAATCTTCAAGTTATTAGAACTGAAAAAGTTTAGACCATCAGAATTGTGAAAAGTTCATGCCATCAGCCTCATCATAAAATTACCTCTACAGTTCAAGAAAGAGAAACATGAAGGAGTCAGTTAAATTGAAACTTAAAGAGCATAACTTCTGTGGACTTCAGTGTAATGATAGAGTTCAGAACTTTGTTTTAATGTGTTAATACGAGCATTCTAATTGAGATAGCTTTGTTTGTTTTTTTGTAATAATTTGTGTGTTTTAAAAATCTGCAGCTTCTTGTGAATGTGTTTGTGCATGCGTTTTAATGTGCACTTGGGGCTATATTCGATATAAGCATTTATATTTCTATATTACTGATACTGTACATTACCCAACTATTTTACTCAACTATTGCACCTCTATGGAGTAAATCTGGTTAAAGCTTTTTCTTTAAAATCTGACATAGGTGAGATATTTAATTGGTCATTTTGGCAAGTGGAAAAAAATTTTTTTATTTTATTGTGTGACATTTGGACTACTGAGGCTAAAACAATAGTGTTTTCGTCCGGCCTCAGTTGTACACTGGAATTAATAGTTGTAAGTAAACAGTCCTAGTGAAATCAATCACAGTATAAATACACAGCAAAAGCTCAAGGAATCCAGTGGTCAGATAAAGAAAGCTAAGCAACAATCACGTGTTGATGAAATCTTCACTCTTACCCGAATCAGAACAACATCTGCTGCTTCAATGGCTACGTCAGTGCCTGTACCAATCGCAATTCCAATGTCAGCCATTGCCAGTGCTGGGGAATCGTTCACACCATCACCCACCATTGCCACAATCTTTCCTTGCTTCTGCAGTTGTTCCACTTTGGCTACTTTGTGCGAGGGAAGGACTTCAGCAAACACTTTGGTGATGCCAACCTGACAATTCAAGTTAAATCAAATTATGGCAATTATCTTTTACACAAGCTACAAAATATTGCATGCCACTCCATTCACGCATTTAATTATTCCTATTTTCCCCCGTCTCAAAAGACATAGCAATCACAATTCACAACTTAAAAACAACATAAATCTGACTTTAATTCACCTGAGCAGCAATAGCCCTAGCTGTTTTACTGTTGTCTCCAGTCATAAGCACCACGTCCAGCCCCATGCTGTTCAATGTGTAGACAGCCAAGTCTGCTTCTGGCTTCACAGTGTCTGCAATTGCTATCATTCCACAAAGTACACCTGTATTTTAAAAACGAATCAAACAATATAGTTAAATAAACATTTCCACAGGCATCAGAGAGAGGAAGGAGGCAGGGCTAATACAGAATAGATTTTAGTTTTAAAGCCTGATGTTACATTAATGAGATTTACTGGTCATCCATTTTCACAAAACTGTCAACTACCAGTGTATTCAATCCTTGAACAATCGTTCCACTCTGTTCCAAATACGAACATCACTTGCAAGGTAAACCTTGCCAAACTCACCCTCTCTGTTGGGTCACAATAGTCCAAATAATACAGAATTTCAGAGATATCAGGATTGATACTTTCCAATGGTTTAGTTGCCTTTGAATGAACTGTTTTCCTCATTCTTTGTTTCACTTCTGCATTCTATCATTTCCTACTGAACACAGAAACTTGCTCCCAGGAGTGTTCCGGCTCCCTTTGTGTCTGCTTCTCAGCAGCAATTCTTTTCCCTCTATTCTGACAGCGTTTTGTAGAGTTAAGTTCAGTAGCTAGCACCTTCATGGGTTTCTATGTAGGAACTGGAGTAAGTCATTCAGCCAATCAATCCTGTCCTGCCACTCAACCAATCATGCGTGATCACCTCAATGTCAACGTCCACATTATCTTCCCAATTCCCTTGATATCTCTAAATCTAGAAATCAATCACTTTGTTTTGAACGTACACAAAGACTGAATGTTTTCTATTTTTTTGGGTAGAAAATTTCAAAGATTCACCACCCAATGAATGAAGAAACTCCTCAGGACAAAATGGTCAACCTTTCATTCTGAGACTTGGTCTCCTGATTCTAGGTTCTCAGCCAGGGGAAAAGTCCTTGCTGCATCTGCCCTGCTGCACCTTAAGATATTTGTATGCTTCAGGTTGAGCTTTGTCTTTCTATCCCTTCTCAACTCTCTTCCCCATGGAAATGTGGAAAGTAGTTACAAAGAATTGTATCACCCTTGAAACATAATTTTGTCTCTCTCTCTCTCTCTCTCCCCACAGATGCTGCAAAACCAGAGTTTCTTCAAAACAAGGTGCAGAGCTGGATGAACACAGCAGGCCAAGCAGCATCATAGGAGCAAAAAGGCTGACGTTTTGGGCCTAGACCCTTCATCAGAAATGGGGGAGGGGAAGGGGGTTCTGAAATAAATAGGGAGAGAGGAGGAGGTGGATAGAAGATGGATAGAGGAGAAGATAGGTGGAGAGGAAACAGACAGGTCGAAGAGGCGGGTATGGAGCCAGTAAAGGTGAGTGTAGGTGGGGAGTTAGGGAGGGGATAGGTCAGTCCAGGGAGGACGGACGGACAGGTCAAGGGGGCGGGATGAGGTTAGGAGGTAGGAGATGGGGGTGCGGCTTGAGGTGGGAGGAGGGGATAGGTGGGAGGAAGAACAGGTTAGGGAGGCGGGGACGAGCTGGGCTGGTTTTGGGATGCGGTGGGGAGAGGGGAGATTTTGAAGCTTGTGAAATCCACATTGATACCATTGGGCTGCAGGGTTCCCAAGCGGAATATGAGGTGCTGTTCCTGCAACCTTCAGGTGGCATCGTTGTGGCACTGCAGGAGGCCCAGGATGGACATGTCATCTGAGGAATGGGAGGGGGGAGTTGAAATGGTTCGCGACTGAGAGGTGCAGTTGTTTATTGCGAACCGAGCGTAGGTGTTCTGCAAAGCGGTCCCTGAGCCTCCAGTTGGTTTCCCTGATGTAGAGGAGGCCACAACAGGTACAGTGGATGCAGTATACCACATTGGCAGATGTGCAGGTGAACATCTGCTTGATGTGGAAAGTCTTCTTGGGGCCTGGGATGGGGATGAGGGAGGAGGTGGGGGCAGGTGTAGCACTTCCTGCGGTTGCAGGGAAAAGTGCCGGGCGTGGTGGGGCTGGAGGGGAGTGTGGAGCGGACAAGGGAGTCACGGAGAGAGTGGTCCCTCCGGAAAGCAGATAAGGGTGTGGAGGGAAAGATGTGGGTGGTGGGGTCGGATTGCAGATGACGGAAGTGTCGGAGGATGATGCGTTGGATCCGGAGGTTGGTGGGGTGGTACGTGAGGACGAGGGGGATTCTTTTTTGGTTGTTATTGCGGGGATGGGGTGTGTGGGATGAGTTGCGGGAAATGTGGGAGACACGGTTGAGGGCGTTCTCGACCACTGAGGGGGGGGGAGTTGCGGTCCTTGAAAAACAAGGACGAGGACATCTGAGATGTACGGGAGTGGAATGCCTCATCCTGGGAGCAGAGGCGAAGGAATTGGGAATAGGTGATGGCATTTTTGCAGGAAGGTGGGTGGGAGGAGGTGTATTCTAGGTAGCTGTGGGAGTCAGTGGGCTTGAAATGGACCTACACTGGCCCTAAACCTCACCTCTTCCTCCGTTACATTGATGACTGTATCGACGCCGCCTCATGCTCCCACGAGGAGCTCGAACAGTTCATCAACTTCACCCACTTCACCAACACCTTCCACCCCAACCTTAAGTTCACCTGGACCATCTCCAATACCTCTTTCTCCTTCCTGGACCTCTCTGTCTCCATCTTGGGCAACCACATAGAAACCGATATCCATTTCAAGCCCACCGACTCCCACAGCTACCTAGAATACACCTCCTCCCTTGTTGTCTCGGATTCTCCAGCATCTGCAGTTCCTACTATCTCTCTTTCTTCAAAACATTCTGTTTTTATTTCACACCCTCTGGCATCCACAGTACTTTGCTTTTATTTGAAACCTAAAGTCACACGTGCACTTCTCCAACTGAGACATTTACCAGAAATTCACCATGCCGTCTTTGCCCTGAAAGGGGCAGTTTAAAACAAAGTTGTTTGGTAATGTTCATCATTCATGACACTGAATTATAAATTTGTGAAGAACCTATAGTGTTTTCTGATGGTAAGGACACCATCGAAATGTATGAGTACACATATCAGGAAGACTAACGAATGGTGTCTGTTTTTCTCTTGGGGAAAAAAAGGCAAGTGAAGGGTGACAAATTAGAGGTGTTTAAAATTGTGAAATTGTTTTGATAGAATGGATGCCAAGAGTATATATCCTTTTGTGGGAGAGACACAACTAGAGACCACACATACAAGATAGCCACCAAGAAATCCAACAGGGAACAGGAGAAACTTTTCACTCAAACAATGTGAAATATTTTACCACAGGTAGTGGTGGAAACAAATAGCAAATAGATGCATTTAAAGCAAAGCCAGACAAGCATTTGAAAAAGATGGGAATAGATGGTTACAATGGTCAATTTAGATGAGAAATGCTGACAGGAAATTCAGGTGTAGTATTCACAATGGTATGGGCCAAATGGCCTGTTTTGTACCATATTTCCTATGTAACCCTGGTTGCAATCCTATGATTTCAAATGCACAGCTGATAGTAATGCCATCTTCTGGGCAGCTAGTTGACAGTTTACTACAATACTTGCGGGGGCAGTTCAAGAGGCACTAGCAAGCCTTCATTATCTTGTCCAAGAGGTGCTTATACCCATGTGAATCCAATAAAAGAAGCAAGCTACAACATACACAACGACCAAAGTCGGCTACATCTGATTAAAACAGGAAGCTGGTCAAGTTCTTACCATCTACAGAGACTAGTATCGCTGTACGTCCCTGGCTTTCGTGCTCTATCATGCAACCGTCCACGTCATTACTGACATGTATACCATTCCTCTTCATCCATTCACGATTTCCAATCAGCACGAAAAAGATCTGGGGTTTCCCTGAACAGGCAGCAAAGCACAATGAAACAATAAACTGATATGCAAAAATATAATCAAGTGAGAACTCATTTATTCAGTAATTACCACACCGGAACATTTCCAGAAAGTCTAAAATAATTATTCCAAAAGGACTCAATAATAGAAACTGGAGTTAAAATTGAGGCAACAAATCAAAACAAATTGGTAATTTCTTTTCACAAGAACAGAAATAGGACAAGTAGTACAGTACAAAGGTCAGTAAATCAAAAAGTTCAAAGTTTGAGATACAGATTAAACCACATTCATTATACCTAAGTAGGCAGTAACAAATATTAAAGCACCAGGACTGGACACCAATGTAACACGAGATGACATTATGTATCACAAAACATCAAAGCTTTGCATGTTGCCCCACAATTTCAATTGTGTCAACCAAACTCAGGTGACTCACTTAAGCAGTTTCCAGTTAACTCTTAGAAGGTTTCTGGAGAAAGATACTACTTATTTACTGCCTTTATCGTTTCCTAGTATTTACATAATAATGTGTAAATAAACAAGTAGTAATCTGTTTGGAAAAGGAAGGAGTCAACTTCAACCACCTGTAATGATTTGTTGCGCTATAACAGACAAGAAAACTCACTCACTTTCTGATTGGGCCTCTTCGATTACAGAGTGTGATGAGCCATCGCCACTGCTTTTCTCATTGATCTGTATCAGCATCATGTTCTGCTCAACCTCAAGATTCTTTTTATTTAGTAATGACTCAATGTTGGAGACTTTGCACGTGATGCCACAGCCAGCAACTGCTTGGAAGTCTGAACATGAGCCAAGCTCATCTGAGCCTAGTTCCTGAAGTGAGAAAAGAACAAGTTATTTTTGCTTTACGTAGCTGTCTCCATAACTTTGCTTTTTTGGTATCCTCTTGTATTTTCTTCTCTTCCTCCTGGAACAAGTGTGTAAAACATGAAGAAACCAACATAGCAAGCAAACAGTGAAAGGTTTGGAAGATGCTGTACTTAGCACAGCTATAAAAGCTGTCCCTATGACTCACCCAGGTAACCAGGATACCCTTCAACTGTTGCCCGAATCTTTCAGCTTCTTTCAAAATGGATTCAGCACAATATTTGTCTACATTTAGGAAATATCACTTTGGCACGTTATCAGCAGTTCACATCATCAATGAGTTTTAGTAATTCCAACAAAACACTGAAAACATGGGATAATAATACAAAATGGCAAGATCTACTAAGATACATTGTGGCCTGGTCTGATAATGGATAATAATTACAAGAAGTTTTTGTTTAACTATGACAATGTGTTTGTCAGTGTCCGGGCTGGCATACTTGTGATTGTTTGATATGGCTAGAATTCAGAGTCTCATTATTGTTATAATGAGCAAGTCCACATCTTTACACAGTTACAATTCCAGCTAATGATAATACATGACAAGTCAGATTCCACAATAAAACCTGGCTTGACAGAACACGTTTCAATTTTGCAGTTGTTTGCCGTAGTGGTTATTCAGTAAAGCATATTCACACCAGGCTGCAACAGTTCTTTAACAATAGACATAAGTTTATTACGCAAATCAAAGAAAACAAGCAGCAGTTTTATAATGCAGATAGAAAGACCTGAACACAAACAGAGAAACAAAATTCAAACGTTTTTCCCGACGCTTTCTTTTATGCAGATACGCAATTCCAGGGAAGCATTGCTCCAATCTCAGATTTTTAAATCTTTACTTAATTGACATTTTCCAGATTCGTTCCCTTGGAATGGTGAGACCATTTTTTTCGATGATTCTTTTCTAAGCCCGATGGTATGAACCTTTCATGTAACTTCTTGCAAACTATTTGATTAGTAAATGAGTCATTTAAATTTGAATGCCACAAGATGGAGGCTTAATATTTAACTACGTCTAAGGTGGGTGTTGGGGGGTTGGTTTTCTTTCAGGTCACGAAGATCTGGGCAACTTGAATCAGGGCTGTTCTCAAAAATCTGTTCAAAAATTTTATGAGAAAATTAATTTCCAGGTGTCTCCGATTGCACATTAGGAATGGGCTCATCTGACAGCTCCTCCGCCCATGCTCAAGTATCATTGAGGGAGGTAGTACTGGTCATACTGCAGTGACAGTACGTGCTGGGGTCATTTCAATATGCAGTATTATCCTACACTATGTATGTTACTACACTGTATATACACTGTATATGTATGTTACTAAGTTGCTACACTGGCCCTATCCACCACCTCTTCCTCCGTTACATCGATGACTGTATCAGCGCTGCCTCGTGCTCCCACGAGGAGCTCGAACAGTTCATCCACTTCGCTAACACCTTCCACCCCAACCTTAAGTTCACCTGGACCATCTGACACCTCTCTCTCCTTCCTGGACCTCTCTGTTTCCATCTCTGGCAACCACCTGGAAACCGATATCCATTTCAAGCCTACCGACTCCCACAGTTACCTAGAATACACCTCCTCCCACCCACCTTCCTGCAAAAATACCATCCTATTCTCAATTCCTTCGCCTCCGCCGCATCTGCTCCCGGGATGAGGCATTCTATTCCCGGACATCCCAGATGTCCTCGTTTTTCAAGGAATGGAACTTCCCCCCGACAATGATCGAAAACGCCCTCGACCGCGTCTCCTGCATTTCCCGCAACTCATCCCTCACACCCCCTCCCCACAATAACCAAAACAGGATCCCCCTCATCCTCACGTACCACCCCACCAACCTCCGGATCCAACGCATCATCCTCCGGCACTTCCGCCATCTGCAATCTGACCCCACTACCAAAGACATCTTTCCCTCAACACCCTTATCTGCTTTCCGGAGGGACCACTCTCTCCGTGACTCCCTCCACAGTCCCCACCAGTCCCACCACGCCCGGCACCTTTCCCTGCAACCACAGGAAGTGCTACACCTGCCCCTACACCTCCCCCATCACCCCCATCCCAGGCCCCAAGAAGACCTTCCACATCAAACAGATGCTCACCTGCACATCTGCCAATGTGGTATACTGTATCCGCTGTTCTCGTTGTGGCCTCCTCTACATCGGGGAAACCAAGCGGAGGCTTGGGGACCGCTTTGTAGAACACCTACGCTTGGTTCGCAACAAACAACTGCACGTCCCAGTCGCGAACCATTTCAACTGCCCCTCCCACTCCTTGGACGACATGTCCGTCCTGGGCCTCCTGCACTGCCACGACGATGCCACCCGAAGGTTGCAGGAACAGCAACTCATATTTAGCTTGGGTACCCTGCAGCCCAATGGTATCAATGTGGACTTCACAAGCTTCAAAATCTCTCCTCGCCCTACCGCATCCCAAAACCAGCCCAGCTCGTCCCCGCCTCCCTAACCTGTCCTTCCTCCCACCTATCCCCTCCTCCCACCTCAAGCCCCACCCCCATCTCCTACCTACCAACCTTATCCCACCCCCCTTGACCTGTCCATCCTCCCTGGACTGACTTATCCCCTCCCTAACTCCCCACCTGTACTCACCTTTACTGGCTCCACCCCCACCTCTTTGACCTGTCTGTCTCCTCTCCACCTATCTTCCCCTCTATCCATCTTCTATCCGCCTCCCCCTCTCTCCCTATTTATTTCAGAATCCCTTCCTCCCCCCCCACCATTTCTGAAGAAGTGTCTAGACCCGAAACGTCAACTTTCCTGCTCCTGTGATGCTGCTTGGCCTGCTGTGTTCATCCAGCTCTACACCTTGTTATCTCAGGTTTAATCCCTATTCTGCTCCCTTCCTGATCTGAACTATGCCACGTGTAGAACACTCTCATGGTGGACGATTTTTCCAGTTTTTAGGCCATGCCTTCAGAGGCTGGTTTGAGGTCACATGGAAATTGTTCTGGGATGTATGCGAACTATATTTTTCCATGACTTCAGTGTTCTTTTAAAAAAAGAAGGAAAAAAAAAACACTTTGAACAAAAGGTACTAACCCCAAGTTTTCTTTCACCCCCTCTGTATTCCTGACTTATATAATGGAAGCACCCTCCCATCTCAAACTACAGAAATGCTGCTGTTTTCCTAATTGATTTCTGATCTTAAAATACTCTGATCATAAATTTACTCTTGACAAATTGACAGTAATAAGAAAAGGTCATACCTGTTTACAATACTTGGTTACTGCTACACCCAATGGATGTTCACTGTTTGTTTCTGCAGTGCCAACAATGGCCAACAGCTTCATCTGTGATATGTAATTACCCTCTGACAGGACCTTCAGGTTCATCACTCTGGGCGTTCCATGAGTGACTGTTCCAGTTTTATCAAAAACAATGGTATTAATCTGAATAAGATAGGAACCTTATTATTCAACTCAAACAACAGCGTCAGTCAATACAGTCCAATTCACTTCCTAACCAAACTCAACTTGAATCCAAGAAAACAATTTTGATTTTGCTATCAAGAGGCCATACAGTTCTATACTTAACCAGAACACCAAGCCTAGAAGAGTATGTAAATTTTCCACAGTAGACTATGAAAGCAGAGGGCTGGCACATTGAAAGCTTTTGTTAGGCTCATTGGAAAAGTAAGCACTATTGCCACCTTGTCAGTGCAATCCCAGACATTCCACATGTGATTAAAATGGAGTATGTGTGTTCCAAGACTTCTGTCAATATTGTTCTCAAAAGGCTACTGGGGGGTGGGCTAGATAGACTGGAGATAATGTTATGTAGGCATAAGTGTGTGACAGGATTAAAGAGGGCTCCAAATATTTTTCAAATTTTTCCTCAGCTCTACCAGTACTTAGAAGAAATCAATGTAACCAATTGTATTCATATTTTTTGTTTTCTTGAAATAGCAAAGTTAACATTACAAAATCATTACAACCGAATTGAATAACTCTAACAGGAAGACTTTGTCACATTTCACAGTAGTGAACATCTCCTTCATGTGGACATTTAATCTTTTAATCGTACTTTCCATAAACAGCATTCCAAAGCTCTGAAAAATTACTCATGCTACGCCCTGTTCATATCAAACATCCCTGTGCTTTCAGACTTACATTGACTGTTGGAGAAGCAACGCCATAACATTAAAATTCTCATCCTCTATTTCATATCCCTTCACTTCACTGCACCTCACTGAAGGTTGGTAATCTCGTCCAACCCAAAAACCCTCAGAATCGGCATTCGTTTAATTATGGTCATATGAGCATCCTGATCTTATTTGTTTTAGCACTGGTGGCTGTGCCCTCAGCTGCCTGGGTTTCAAGTATTGGAATTCCCTCCCTAAACCTCTCCCTTTCTCTTTTCACTTCCCTCTCTTTGGTCAAGCCTTTGCTTATCTATCCTAATACCACTTGTGTGGTTCTATGTCAAATTTTGCTTTATAGTACTCCTGTGAAGCACCTTGGGAAATGTTACTACATTAAGGGACTACATAAATGCAAGTTGTTGTTACACACATCAGATGTATTAGTGTCATGAACCTAACACACTGCATCAGTTGTCATCTGAATTGACTGAATTATAGAGGAAAAATATTTGCACAGCTCCAATTGATTCTGATAATTATTTTAAAACTTGCTGCTGTGAGAGAAAGTTCCTTTCTATAATAGAATCCATTCAGTGCGGAAAGCGGTCATTTGGCCCATCAGTCCTTCAAAGTCCATCCCACCCCAGACCCAACCCCCACATTTCCCATGGCCAATCCACCTAGCCTACACATCCCTGCACACAATGGGCAATTTAGCACAGCCAATTCACCTAATCTGCACATCCTTGAACTGTGGGAGGGGGGATATCCGGCAGAAACGCTCACAGACACGGGGAGAATGTGCAAACTCCACACAGACAGTTGCACAAGGCTGGAACTGAACCCAGGCCCCAGGTGCTGTGAGGCAGCAGTGCTAAAGACCAAGCTACTGGTCTTTCCAAGTTCCTGTGTATCAGCCACTATTTATAATACATATAGGTGAAATTTGTAGGACACTTGAACTCCCTTCATGGAAAAATAAATGCTAGATGCACTTGTCATAGTAAACAGCAAAGGGCAAAATGATCTGACAAGAAAATCCACATGATTTAACAACCAATATTAGTTTATATACACAACAATTATATAGTATTTGTCCTGAGTTACAAGGACTTATAGCTTCTGAATGTATCTACCTTGTGTGCCATTTCCAGCGGTTCCCCTCCTTTAATAAGGATACCATTCTGTGCACCGACTCCAGTTCCCACCATTACTGCAGTAGGTGTTGCCAATCCCAATGCACAGGGGCACGCGATGCAAAGGACAGTGATTGAGGCTTGGAATGCAAAGCGCACAATCACCTCAGGCTGAGACAAGCTTTTGTTGTAACCCTAAGTAAAAACAGGCAATTTAGTCATAGCTGGCAGGTATAACCTCAACAAAAAAAGCACTGTTTGGGCTATGATCTAACAGAGAGGCAATTATTATTGTTACTTTGCAGCAATATTACTTGGAACAGAATGAAAGCTTAGATTTTGATGATCAATTCCTTTTTATTGCTAGAATTTAAAAAAAAAACACATTAAATATTTGCTGCTGCTCCTGGATGTGATGAACTAGAATGTTCTTCCATATTGAACTTGTGCTGAAAATTTCACATTGCAGGGCATACTTTTATAGTGCGATCTCAAATTCATCCAGGATATAAATTGGGGTATGGGTAGGGGAGATGATGTTGCAGTGGCAATGTCATTGGACCAGTAACCGAGAAACCCAGGCTCATGCTTGGAGGTCATTGGTTCTAACCTCAACACAGCAGCTGGTGGAATTTGAATTTAAGGAATAAGGAACATAAAACTGGCCATCTTTGATGGTGATTTCAACAATCATTGATATTGTGAAACATCTGAACCTATCTGGTTCAATCTATTCTCTACAGAAAGAAATCTGCCATTTTTACCTGACTAGCCTACATGTTACTCCAAACCAACAGTGATGTGGTCTGCCATCTCAACAGCATGGTACATCCTCAAGTGTATTAACATGCCAGTAATGCCCACAGATCTCCAGAGCACCCTATTTAGTGTTTCCTTCTTTCTCCACTGACATAACGCCCCTTAATATTTTCTGCTTTCTAGCAGCACAGCTATTTTATATTCATTTCTAAGTTAAATTTGAAATCTCAACTTTTGACTGCTTTTGGAAATCAAGGCATACAACCATCTAGAAACTTCCAGTTGATTTGGGATGTCACTATTTCGTTTAAAAAAAAAAGTGTTTATCAAGGAAGATCACTGCCTTTTGAATTTATGTTGGCTGCTACTTATTAGCTATCAACCACCTAATGTTTAGTATATCAGGCTTGAAATATTAACTATTTGTCTCTCCATGGGTGATGCTAGACTGGTTGACTTTGTTTTTATTTCAGATTTCCAGGATTTGCCATATTTTCCTTTTCCCTAACATTAAATGTTTACCTCAAACTATACTGTCTGGGCCTTTGAGAAAGAAATCTGAGCCTGATCCCAATGCAGCAACACTTTCCCAATGTTTATTAATTCCCTTGTAATGTTGGTTCAAAACGCGCAAATCTCATCTCTTATCTACTTTAGAGATTTAGGATAAAGAGCATCATCCCCAGGGAGTTTGAGCACCTTTTTAGTCTACGATTCTGATTTAGATCACAGCTAGCAATTCTACCGGGCCTTTTACAATTTGCAAAAGAAAGGTTGTCTATATCTTCCTATTGCAAATTTGGATATAATATGATCAAACATAATGCCTGCAAGTTCAGTTTTGGATTCATAGCTCTCTTGTTTGCACTCACATTATATCAGCAAAAAATAAAATTCTAAAAGTTTTATTTCACATCTTTTCCCCAGGTTCTTTTTTGACCTACCGAATACCCTTTCATCACATTATCTCAGGACTCCTTTAGCAGCTTGTTTTTGATCCTAATTTCATTGATAATCTGTTTAGAGTCATTGTTGGCCAGACTAGATGTCATTCGACAATTTCAGATACAAATGCAACTTACGTGCCAACATGCACTTGTGCTGAGTGCAGAGCTTCAATTTACAGATGTGCATTGGCTATGGATTAGGCCACAAACTTTACATTGCTTTGGCAGGCTGTGTATCTAAGTGCCTCCTAAAGCTGGGAAAGCTGCTGGGAAGTCCAGCAGAAAGATTTAAATCTGTGGGAGTTCTTCCTTCTGAACCTAAATCAAGGAGTTCCTATGCCTATCAGATAATAGAGTCAGGGTGAGCCACCTTTTATGGAAAAGATGTTTTCTTTTCTTAAATCTTTAGGAGTCCAATCAACAAAGATCCATGTTGGGTCCAAGTCTCCAATTATTTTGACCTGCACCCCGAATACCAATAGCTATAATAGTGTCAATCAAGAGTGGTGTCCTGGAATAGGCAAGGAGTTCAAGATATCTAACATTTGCAGGCTCTGTCCACCCACTAAGCCACTACTTTATGCTGACAACCTTATAAAAGGGTGACTTCATCAAGGCCATCCAGGATGTTTGCACATAAAATTGGTAACCAGTGCCATAGTTTTCAGCTGACATCAGCTGAAGCTTTATCAGGAGTCTGCTAGACCAAACACACAACTCCTGCCTTGCTTAACACAATAGTCAGAGAGAATCAAACTCGGGATGTTCTTGTGTGAGTATCTACAGCATATTTCAGCATTAACTGCTAAATTGTCAGAAGGAATGGTACATATCATCTCAAAAGAATTTCACACTATTTTAATCCAAAATTGCACCTGTAGCAATAATGCCCAGGACAAAACTGATACATATTATGAAATGAAGAATCAGCAAGTTCCAGTTTTAACAACTACATTTCAGATTTCAAACTCTGCCACTTGCATTGACCATCTTTCCAGACATGTTAATCCTCTTAAACTTTGTACTTACAGGGAAATATTTTTCCACAAGGTTAAAATTGAAAAATCCAACGATAACCCAGGCAATCAGAGTAACAACAGAAACTCCAACGATAAATGGGACAAAATATCCACTCAGCTTATCGGCAAACTGTTGAATGGGGGCCTGAAAAACCAAACAACAAACTGTGGACTTTGAAATTTTAGTACAGAAGGTAGAGAAGTGAATAATCTCTAAACAAGTATAATCTGGGCGCAAGGAAAGAGGGTATTCTTCCAGCCATTGCACTGTAACAATGCTGTGATCATGTTGGTTTTTAATTTATGCAGAAAGGGCAAGAAAAAGTAATTTTTTCAGGTAGCAATCAAAATATCTTTTCATTTACCATGTCTGCAAAAATTTCCCTCAATACTCTTAGGAAATAAGGCTGGGCAGGTGTTTGAGGTGTCAGTGAGGGAGCGCTTTGGGGTCAGTGATCATAATTCTATTTGTTTTAAATTAGTGATGGAAAAGGATAGACCGGATCTACAAGTTAAAGTTCTAACTTGGAGGAAGGCCAATTTTGATGGTAATAGGTAAGAACTTCCAAAAGTTGATTGGGGACAGATATTTGCAGGTAAAGGGATGGCTGGAAAATGGGAAGTATTCAAAAATGAGATAACGAGTCCAGAGAGAGTATTTTCCTGTTACAGTGGAGGGCAAGGCTGGTAGGTGCAGGGAATGCTGGATGACTAGAGAAATTGAGGTTTTGGTCAAGAAAAAGAGGGAAGCATATGCCAGGTACAGATAGCAAGCGTCAAGTGAATCCTGAGAAGAGTATAAAGGAAGTAGATGTATCCTTATGAGGGAAATCAGGAGGACAAAAAGGGGACATGAGACAGCTGTGGCAAATAGTTTAAGGAGAATCCAAAGGGATTCTACAAATACATTAAGGACAAAACAGTAACTAGGGAGAGAATAGGGCCCCTTAAAGGGCAGCAAGGCCGCTGACGTGTGGCACTGCAGGAGATGGGGGAAGATACTAAATGGGTATTTTGCATCAATGTTTAATGTGGAGAAGGGTATGGAAGCTAGACAACTTGGCGAAATAAATAGCGACATCTTCAAAAATGTCCATATCATACAGGAGCTGGTGCTGAACGTCTTAAAACGCATGAAGGTGGATAAATCCCCGGGACATGATCAGCTGTACCCTAGGACTCTGCGGGAAGCTATGGAAGTGATTGCTGGGCCCCTTGCTGAAAAATTTGTATCATAAATAGCCACAGGTGAGGTGCTGGAACACTGGAAGTTGGCTAACATGGTGCCACTACTTAAGAAAGGTGGTAAGGAAAAGCCAGAGAATTATAGACCAGTGAGCCTGACATCGGTGGTGGGCAAGTTCATAGAATCCATAGGATCTCTACAGTGTGGAAACAGGCCATTCAGCCCAACAAGTCCACACTGACCCTCAGAACAGCCACCAAGACCCATCCCCCAATAACCCACCTAATCTACACATCCCTGAACACTACAGGCAATTTAGCATGGCCAATCCACCTAGCCTGCACATCTTTGGACTGCGGGAGGAAACCGGAGCACCTGGAGGAAACCCACGCAGACACAGGGAGAATGTGCAAACTCCACACAGACAGTCACCAGAGGGTGGAATCAAACCCGGGTCCCTGGCACCATGAGGCAGCAGTGCTAACCATTCAGCCACCGTGCCGCCTTGTTGAAGATGATCCTGAGGGACAGGTTTTACATGTATTTGGAAAAGCAAGACCTAATTAGGGATAGTCAACATAGCTTTGTGCATGGGAATGCTGGCAAATGGAACTAGATTCACATAGGCTATCTGGTTGGCATGGATGAGTTGGACCGAAGGGTCTGTTTCTGTACTGTACAATTTCGTGATTCGATGACTCTAAATCATGTCTCACTAAACTGATGGAGTTTTTTGTGGAAGTAATGAAGAGGATCGATGAAGGCAGAGCAGTGGACGTGATCTATATGGACTTCAGTAAGGCGTTTGTCAAGGTTCTACATGATAGACTGGTTAGCAAGGTTAGATCACCTGGAATACAGGGAGAACTAGCTATTTGGATACAGCACTGGCTCGAAGGTAGAAGACAGAGGGTGGTAGTGAAGAGTTGCTTTCCAGACTGGAGGCCTGTGACCAGCAGTGTGCCACAAGGATTGGTGCTGGGTCCACTGTTTTTCGTCATTTATACAAATGATCTGGATGTGAACATAGCAGGTATGGTTAGTAAGTTTGCAGATGGCATCAAAAATGGTGGCGTAATGGACAACGAAGAAGGTTACCTCAGAGTACAACGGGATCGTGATCAGATGGGCCAATGGACCAAAGAGTGGCAGATGGAGTTTCATTTAGATAAATGTCAGGTGCTACATTTTGGAAAGGCAATTCAGGGCAGGACTTATACACTTAATGGTAAGGTCCTAGGGAATGTTGCTGAACAAAGAGACCCTGGAGTGCAGGTTCACTGTTCCTTGAAGTAGATTCACAGGTAGACAGGATAGTGAAGATGGTGTTTAGTATGCCTTCCTTTATTAGTCAGTGCACTGAGTATAGAAGTTAGGAGGTCATGTTGCTGCTGTACAGGATGTTGGTTAGGCCACTTTTGGAATACTGAGCACAATTCTGATCTTCATGCTGTAGAAAGGATGTTATTAAACTTGATAGGGTTTAGAAAAGATTTACAAGGATGTTGCCAGAGTTGGAGGATTTGAGCTATAGGGACAGGCTGAATAGACTGGGGCTATCTTCCCTGGAGCGGAGAATGAGGAGTGACCTTATAGAGGTTTATAAACTCATGAGGGGCATGGATAGGGTGAATAGGCAAGGTCTTTTCCCTGGGGTGGGTGTCTCCAGAATAGACATAGGTTTAAGGTGAGAGGAGGACAATTTAAAAGGGACTTAACAGGCAACGTTTTCACACAGAGGGTGGTGCATTTACGGAATGAGCTGCCAGAGGAAGTGGTGGAGGCTGGTACAATTACAACACTTAAAAGGCATCTGGATGGGTAGATGAATAGGAAGGGTTTAGAGGGATATGGGCCAAATGCTGGCAAATGGAACTAGATTTATATAGAATATCTGGTCAGCATGAATGAGTTGGACTGAAGGGTCTGTTTCCTTGCTGTACAGCTCTATGACTCCAATCATTCACAAGAGAAGTGCACCTCCCCTTCAGTGCCAAATACCAGATGCTAAGAGACACACTATGAGCAACATTAATTACAGTGTTAGCATCTTATAAACCATGCTTGTTTCTGGTTTGTAAGAAGACTGCAAAGCTGCAATTATGGCAGAAAGTGGTCAATGTGATGTAAGCTGTGGAATTTACATCCATAATGTTTCATGATATATGGTGAGAGCTTGAGTTTTCTGGTTTTGAGTTTATAACTGGAGGGAGTTTCTGCATGCACTGAGTTAATAATTAACTTGTGAGTATTTCTAAAACCATGGCAATTTCTGGTCAAAACAGTTTTTGAAGTCTGGTTTTAGAGCAAATGGGTTAGGGTAACCCCAACCATTTGACTTGTTTATTTTAGATTGGTTGCAGCCCAGCAAGAGACTCAAAGTTTTGTTAGTGTGTGTTCTGGATTTTTTTTTAAGCTTCAGGGAAACATCCATAACTGAGAACAAGACTTTTAGTTTCACTTTTGACTTTAAGGGAGGTAGTTTTGTGAAGTGCTTGGAACAGGATGGCTGTATAGATCAGTACACCTGATAAAGTGATGATAGATATAGTCAATTAGATGATCTTGGAGTGAAAAGTTACTGTTAACCCCAGACTACAAATGTTCAGGTAAAGATGCATTGAAGAGAGTGCTTGAAGCTGAGTATGTAGAGTCATAGAGCTGTACAGTACAGAAACAGCGCCTTCGATCCAGCTTGTCCATGCCGACCAGACATCCTAAATAAATCTAGTCCCATTTGCCAGCATTTGGCCCATATCGCTCTAAACCCTTCCTATTCATATACCCATCCAGCAAATTCTAAAAAAGAACTACAGATAAAATTCATCATACCCTCTTCTCAGGTCTATTGTCAATAAAATAATCCCCATTGGAAAAAACCAATCCCCATAATGAACTCCTAGGTCATGACTGTGATCACCAAGACTGTACCTTAGATGTTTGAGCTTCTTCTACAAGTTTCACAATCTGAGAGAGTGTGGTTTCAGATCCAACATGAGTAGCTTCAACCAATAAAGCTCCGTGCTGATTAATAGAGCCTGCAATGACACTGCTCCCCAATTTTTTAGTAACTGGCATTGCTTCACCTACAAACAATGTACAATACAAAGGGGAACAAAGTTATCTTATTACTAATAGCTCCAATACTGTAATACTTATTTCCTATAGTCCTTATTTACCATCCTCCATATAACAATAACAAACTCCATCAGACAACTTATGTAGTGCAAATGGCACTCAGGGTGAACTGAGCACATTACATGAATAGAAACAGAAGGTGCTGGAAATCTTATAGGGCAATCCCTGGAGATCGATGATAACTTTGATTCAAAAGGCTCTGAAATGATGAGAAACAATGCATGACTTACAGACTCTATCACATGAGGCAAAGTCAGAAGTCACATGACACCAGGTTATAGTCCAACAGGTTTATTTAAAATCACAAGCTTTCAAAGCGCTGCTCCTTCGTCAGGTGAGGTGCTGAAGGGTTGGGTAAATAGGCCATTCAAAAGTTCTTCTTCAGAACTGTCATATTGTACTGAAAATATTAATTGCTTCGCCGTTTACAGATGCAGCCAGACTAGTTAAGTATTTCCAGCACCCACAGCATTTTGCTTTTATTTTAGAACACTTGCAGTTACAGTTACAGGGCAGAAATCAAGTTAAGTGGTTTACATTTATCACCAGAATGGAATATGGATGGACCACAGGAGTTGCAGCATAAATGCATATTATCTATTTCTAAAATGTTTGCTACAGAAGAATATCGATAGAAATTCTTAAATTTCCTGACTCTCGCCTAATGATTCTCTTCATACCTAAAAAGTGACAGTCTGCTGTGAACTGCTGTAAAGATGCAATGCAGCAGCTCAGAATGACTTTTGACTTAAAACATGGTTTTGAAAGGTTACAGTACAATGCAATTTTGGCATGGTGGCTAACTTGTGAAGTTATTTCCAAAAAAAAAAATGTTTGGAAGTTGCCTGAATATCCTAGATACCTGACAAATTTAAACAGCAAAGAAAACAATGCTTTGAGTATTTCCCACTCACATGTTTGTACTCCCTGAACATTCAAAGATTACAATTTTATGTTTTAAGTTACTAGCACAGACTTCTGTTGTGTATTTCTTACCAGTAATCAGAGATTCATCAGCCATTGAATGACCTTCAATCACTCTGCCATCTACAGGGAATTTGCCACCTGGGACCACTTTTACAATATCCCCTCGTTGTACCAACTCCACATCAATTTGCTCTTCACTGAGGAGCCATTGAGAGAAAAAGAAAATGACATTTAATCAGTCACAATTTGTCCAATGAGAATAAATGCTTTAAGGTGCAACAAACAACAATAATGTTTAACAAAATAAAGGTCAGGGACAAGAACCGCCACTAACTTAGTCATCTAACAAGCATTACACACGTAAAACTGTGTTCTTTTGGATTAGCACACACCTTAAAATAGAATGGTCCTCGTTTATCTTCACTATCGTTGCCTCAGTTGCCTGCAATGACATCAGCTTCGCAAGTGCTTCTGATGTTTTGCTCTGCAATAATAATTTTTTAGAATCTCTCTCATTTTGTAAAATATTTAAAATTTTTAATATTTTGTAAAATACTTGAAGTTTCAACAATAAAAAGAACAGCCCTTCTTCAATTGCAGTATATTCAGAACCAGTCCAACTTCATGCAATTTCATATTCCAACAATATTTATAAGGCAATGACTAAATAATACATGGCCTTACAGACTCTATCAACTTCCGATGTTCAATGGCTCAAAACACCTACAATAAAGTCCCCGTTATGGAGAAATGGGGAATACTGGTTGCGTGTATCTGCCATTTGCACAAGAAAACTCTTAGAGAAACCTAATACAGTGCACTTAGCATTCTCACCTTTTTCCAGTCTTTCAAATGTTTCCATTTCTTACCTTGTTGTTCAAACAACACGTTTTCACTTTAGTCCCTGCATGTGAGTTTTCTTAGGTGACATAGCAAATTGATGGGTGAAAGAGTACTGATATTATGTTATCATAAATTCATCTAACTGCTACTATAATGGCATGAAGAAGGATGACAGACCAGTAGCAGCTAGGAGTACTACCATTCCAATATTCCTATTTATAAATGCAGTGTACAAACAATTTATGAACTGAAGTATGGAATTATTATGAGCTTAATTTTAGAGAAATTGGATTCAAAGGATTAAAACTGAAAATAAATTGAACTCTGAATGTTTTGTTCCAAGATGGTATTAGCATTCTTTGATTGGAACATAGAAAGGAAGCCTGAATTTCCTGCTGCATCTTCAGCAAAACAGCATAAACTAGCTATTATAGTCACTTCTCAAGAATACAGTCAACGTCTTGCTTAAGAACCCTTCTGCAAATTTCAGGTGACATTTACTAAGCACGCAAGTGGCACCTAACTAAAGATCAGAATTGTGCCAGCATTAATTTATATAATTACACTTTCTTTCATTGGCTACTTTGTTAAATTTAAACAGTGACAAGGGAATAGACATTAAAATCAAAGTTATTTTATGGGTAAACGACAGCATTGCTGGAATACTGATGCGCCATTCATAATCACCAAACAAAATTAAAACCTCACTCTGCCGATATCATGCTTGGAGTCAGAAGGTGATCCATTTTTGACCAATGCTTACACCTCCAAACAGCAGGACTAGATTGAGACAGGCATTTGTAGGTTTTGAAAAGGAAACAAAACTGGGTTTGACTCTTTCAGAAATAAAAACAAAATACTGTAATTCAGAACAAAAACTAGGAAACAAAGAAAACAAATTTGGCTAATCAAACACACTTCTGCGACAACTATGTATAGTTAGCTCTACACACAAGTGTACTGTAGACTTGAATCCACCCATTTAAAGTTCCAAATGGAAGCTGTGTATAAACATGTCTGATATCCAAAAGTAAACAGTGAAATCCAGAATATCCATTCAGCTTTATTTCTCTGCTATTGCTTTCCATAAGTAGCATTCCTCCTCAGGTATGCCTTTGGAGATCAATCTGAGATGCTTGTTGGGAAGCATGCAAGAGTGGCCATACTGTCACTGACTAAGAAGCCAAAAGCTTCTTGGTGGCCTGGGAATTGGTTAACAACAGACAACAAAGGACCCACATTTAATTCCATATCTGAATTTAGCATGGCATTGAGAACAGCACTGCAATTTGTCTCAGTACTCAGAAGGATAAATAAAAATTGTTCAGGTTTTGCCATTCTGAATCAGAAAATTTTGCTTAAGCTGATTTTTGGGTGGAGGCAGCTTCATCCTCAGCCACATCACCTGAACTTGTACATATTTTAATTAAGTTCACTTATCAATGCTGATCAATTGGACGAGATTCTAGTGCTAAACCTCACTGTGCAGCTGCGTCCACATTTGTATTTCAGGACAGAAGATTAAGGAAGAAAATGGACAAGGAACAAAGAAAAATAAGTCACAACACACAAAGTTAGTCTTTTCTTTCCTCACCTTAGCAATGTGCTCAAGCCACCGTCCCAAACCAATGAAGACAAACAACATCGGAGGTGTATCGAAGAAAGTTACAGGGTTTACTTTGGCCTTTTCTGCCATAGCAATGGCAAGAATGACACAGGAGTACAAGAAAGCAATAGTTGTAGCTAAAACTATCAGCACATCCATGTTGGCAGTTTTGTGCTTGAGTGCCTTGTATGCTTGGATATAGAAATACCATCCACCTACAAACTAAAAGAAAAACTGGTTAAAAACCAACATCTACATGATTTAAGAATGCACAACAAAATACATCATATCTTGAGTAAAGGTACTACTAGACCTTGGGCTATGCTCTCAATACAGACACACAACTGGGGGTGGTTTAACCTCAGGCAAGGGGAGAGGTTGAGAAGAGTCCTTCATGGTAACCTCCACTGGTGTGGGAATTGAACCGATGTTGGTGGCTTCACGTTGTATGCCAAACGAGCTGAACTAACCAACCGCCAATATTTTCAGTAATCACTTTGCAATACACACCTTTCATTAATATCTTTCCTCAAAAAAACTCCATGAAGAGCAAAAGTATATAAAGTGTAAACAAATGAAATTAAAGAATCAGTCATTCTGGAGGTAAAATTGGGTATTGTGCAACTGTGCTTAAATTAGCCATATGCTGAGGCTGGCACACGACAAAAAATGACTAAAAACCTGAGGGTCTAGCAAAAAGCCACAGCTACTTCTAACAGGTATCGAGCCTTAGAGTTACAGAAGTCTACAGCATAGGAGGTATGGTCAGTATGATTGCAAATGACACCAAAATTGGAGGCGTAGTGGACAGCGAAGAAGGTTTCCTCAGCGTGCAACAGGATCTTGATCAGATGGGCTAATGGGCCAAGGAGTGGCAGATGGAGCTTAACTTAGAGAAATGTAAGTGCTGCATTTTAGTAAGGCAATCAGGGCAGGATTTAAGCACTTGATGGTCAGGGGTCTTGAGGAGTGATGCTGAACAAAGAGACCTTGGAGTGCAGGTTCATAGTTCCTTGAAAGTGGAGTCACAGATATACAGGATAGTGAAGGTGTTTGGTATACTTGCCTTTATTGGTCAGTGCATTGAGTATAGGAGTTGGGAGATCATGTTATGGCTGTACAGGACATTGGTTTGGCCACTTTTGGAAAACGGCACGCAATTCTGGACTCCCTGCTATAAGGAAGGATATCGTTAAACTTAAAAGGGTTCAGAAACGATTTACAAGGATGTTGCCAGGATTGGAGAGTTTGAGCTATAGAGTGAGGAAAATAGCCCCAGCCTATTCAGCCTAGATGTCAGAGGCTGGAGGTGACCTGGATAGGGTAAACAGACAAGGTCTTTTCCCCCGAGGGGGGCTTCGTGGATCCAAAACATGGGCGGCACATTTGTCATCATTGAACACACCAAGTTACAAGAAACACACCATCTCATCAACATTTTCACAGGGATAAAATTTGAGAGAAGAGGAAGACAACAATCAAACTCCATTCCTAGATGTCAGAGTAGAACGAATGACCAACGGGGAGTTCCAAACCAGAGTATATAGGAAGGCAACCCACAATGACCAAATCCTCAATTCCACATCAATAAGCCCAATGTTCACAAACAAAGCTGTATTAGGACACCATTCAAATGAGCCACAACACACTACAACACGCCAGAACTGCACAAGGAGGAGGAAGAGCACCTATGCAAGGTATTTACTAACAACGGATATTCTAACAACTTCATTCGCAGATGCCTACTAGATAGACAACACCAAGAGGACACAGCACACCCCAAGACACTGGCCTCACTACCTTATATCAAGAACATATCAGAACTGTGAACAAGACTCCTACAACCACTAGGAATCATGGTAACACAAATGCACAGCCACACTACGACAAACACTCTCAAAGACGCCATACCCATGACAGGACCAACGTAGTTTACAAAATACCTTGCAATGACTGCAAAAAACATTACATTGGCCAGATCGGAAGGAAACTAACCATCAGGATACACAAGCATCAGCTAGCAGCAAAATGACACAATGAACTTTCCATCATCTCAGCGCACTCGGACAATGAAGACCATCAATTTAACCGGTACAACGTGACTATCCTAACTCAAGTCAGCCACAGGCACGCAAAGGAATTCCTAGAGATAGCAAGAACTGCAGATGCTGGAGTCAGGGACAACACAGTGTGGAGCTGTCAGAGTAGCAGTCCAGGCAGCATCAGAGGAGCATGAATGTTCATGTTTCAGGTTGGGACCCTTCTTCAGAAAAGGGAGGGGGAAGGGAGCTGGGAAATAAATAGAGAGGAGGGGTGGGGCTGGGGAAGGTAGGTAGGGCGGTGATAGGTGAATGCAGGTAGGGAGTGGTGGGGTTTGGTCAATGGATGGGTGGGGCGGATAGGTGGGAGAGAAGATGGACAGGTTGTGCCAGGTCAAGGAGGCGGAGATGAGACAGAGGGTTGGACATGGGATGAGGCTGGGGTTGGGGTAGGGGTAGGGGTAATGTTAAAACTGGTGAATTCTATGTTTAGGGTCATTGGGCTGTGGACTCCCGAGGCAGAATATGAGGTGTTGCTCCTCCAGTTTGTGTGTGGTGTCACTGTGACACTGGAGGAGGCCCAGGGTGGACATGTCATTCAGGGAGTGGGAGGGGGAATTTCATTGAACATCTGCACGCTGTACATGAGAAATGACAACACCTTCCGGTCGCCAACCATTTTAACTCCCCCTACCAACCGTCTTCTCTCCCACCTATCCGCCCCACCCATCCCACTGACCATACCCTACCACTCCCTACCTGCATTCACCTATCACCATCCCACCTACCTTCCCCAGCCCCACGCCTCCTCTCTCTATTTACTTCCCAGCTCCCTTCCCCCTGACCATTTCTGAAGAAGGGTCCCAACCTGAAACGACAACACTCCTGCTCTTCTGATGTTGCCTGGACTGCTGTGTTCCTCCTGCTCCACACAGTGTTGTCTCGGAATTCCCAGAAGCCTGGTTTTCAACCCGTAATGCAATCAACAAACATGTGGAATTCGACCCGATATACAAACCCATGCAAAAAACTGACCGGAAATGACACGACCTAATTTAGTAGACTGGATCACATAAATTCCAAACGGAGTAGAACAACATCGCTTCATCAGAGACTGCACTGATGATGTTATCTACTAAGGTGACGAAACGTCTGTACGATAACCAGCCAGCTCGGCAAGCAATCCAACAACCTCATCCACAACCTGAGCTACAAATCTTTGCAAGAATCTTAAATATAAAGTTAAATAATGGTTATCGGATCTACAATGAGACTCAACATCCCTGGATTTGGAAGAAAGGAGACAGAGCAAAGAGGGAAAAAAGTAAAATCAGCCAAAGTGAGGGAAATCCATTCACTTTAAACATCAATTTCTCTAACCATAGATGCAATCAGATACAATGAGTATTCCCAGCATTTTTAGTTTTTATTTGTTTCTCAGTATCTGCAATATTTTGCTTTTGTAAATTTCCACCCATTTACTATCCAGTAATTCTACTGCAAAGTGTGTGGATGAAGACATAAGCAGGGTCACACTTTTACAAACTTCCAGACTCAACATTGAATTAGAGGATTTTTAAAAAATTTATCTTCATTTTGTGAGCAGAAACTGGTAATGGATTGGCTGTTTGCATTTACACCTCCTCAGACTTTTACTTCTTTAATTGTCCAATTGTTGTCTCCTGTCGTGAGCATCTAGTTTACTGTTGGTAAGTGTTAACATATGATTTTTAGCTTTAGGGATAAAGTTTAACTGTAGAAAACGGTATACATGTAATGCAGGACATGGAAGGCCATTGCACCAAAAAGGTTGGGGTTATGTTGCTTTAAGAGGTTACCAGCTCAAAAGATAGGATCAGAAACAACATCTGGACTTGCTAATTAGGGAGAAATAGAGTCGACACTACTTGCAGTAGATTAGACAGATTGATTTGAAAGTTAAAGCTAAGTTAGTTAAATGAATTCAGTAAACTCAAAGGCTGTAAAATACATTTACTGCATCAGATCAAGGAAACAATTATAAATGGTGGATATTTAATGTAAAAGTCAGTTTAACAATAGATCAGAGCAGTCTATGCATCATGCAGATGGGCGGAGGTCAGGAAGGTTCACTAGCTTCAAGTTCTTGAGTGTTTGGCTATGAGAGTGCTGAAGGAAAGCAGCAGCTTCAGGTAGCCCAAGTGCTACTGTTAACAGACTATAGGTTGTTAAGTATCCCAAAAAGTGAATTATCTGTGCCATGAAAAAAGATTAGGGCTAAAATGAATCCTTGGGAGCCATTGATAGTTCAGAGCAGCTGACACCAGGGTAATGAAAGCCCACAAGCAGTAATTGTGCACCAGAGAAGATTGAAGTTTACAGAAATTAAGCAACGGTTTAGATGAAGCTAGCTGTCCAATAAAAGCTGCAGCTGGGTTGGTCTTTAGATAGTTGGAAACAATCTCAGGAGCTCTGGGGATCCAAGTCTTGGGAGACGAGACTGAATTAACAAGGCACAAATAATTGTTGAGGCAGTCAGAGTTGGAGAAACGTTGAAGAAATTCCAAGTCTGAAACTTCACAAGTGAAGACTTGGAATCCCATGCAAAGGAGATGAAATTTCAATGAGATTTGGTGATTGGCAGTGTCATTAATCTCTGGATGGGATCTGCCTGGACCACACTGGCCATTAAACTGCAGTTTACACAGTGTTCAACCAGTTGGTCTGTGTACCTCATATTAATTGAGAATGTTAAATATGAATTAAGTCTGTTATATATCAAACGTATATAGTTTAGAATCATTATCTGACCTGTTCAGCATACCTATTAGTCACTACCGCTTAGATTGTACAAAAAATTGTGGAGTTTCAATTCAATTCTGGAATCCTGCCACTTATTGTATCATTTTAAATGATTATGGTTAATCAAACTAGATCATAAAGAACCAGTTTGTCCAGTATTTTCATAGTCTGGAATCATATTACTCCCAGTACTTGCAACAACATTACTTTTGTCATTTAATCACTCCTGCTTTCCTACCCTATTCTTTTTTGTTTTTGCCTCTCCCACCTCTGTACTTATTAAAAATGGCCTAACCTTTTTCCAGATTTGATGAAAGGTCATTGATCTGAAGCATCATCTCCATCCCACTCTCTCCATAGATACTGTCTGACTTGGTTAAGATTTCTAACATTTCCTTTTATTTTTAATTTCAGCCTTAGCTGTGTTGGTCTAACAGCTTATCCATGTTCAGCGCCCAGGCATACAATGAACAATGACCACTGAAGAATGGAACCACAGATCAGAAATGAATCAACTACTTTAAAAATAGGGAGACAGAACATAAAGAAGCAGAAGAAATGACATAAAGATATGCTTTAATTGAATAACCACTAATGTTAGAATCACAATTTCACAACAGGATTTCAGGTTTATGGTCACTTATTACATTTGAGTATCCAGATACAGGATAAAAATTAATTTCAGCATACCCATATCAGACAATACATACCTGAACTGGAACACAGAGTATAAAGGACAGCAAATTCATAATGGAAAGCCCTGGAAGGAGTTGTCGCTCCAGAAACATTGAGGCATGGTGTTTTTCAAACTCATCAGGTGTCGAGCTGTTCTGATGGCTCTTGTAGAATGCATGGTCTACAACTATCATGTAAATCATCATGATCATCACAGGAATGCAAAAAAATAGACTGATGAAGAAGGATCGCCTCCATCTAGGAAAAACAAATCAAAATAAAAGTCTGTTTATTACCAGAACTTAACAGGCCAAAGTATATGTAGTTCTGAAAAAAAAAGACCTTTCAATTTTGTAGCAAAGCCATGCTCAAACATTTCCCATAAACTGGGCTGGTTTCAATCCAGCACTGCACCACCAATTCTTATTTTTGATAGTCAGAGGCTTCCCAGTATGTTATCGCAATGATATTAAAAAATCCACTATTGATCTTTAAATCCCAGTCAATTTAATACCTGGGAGTCTCATGGGCTAAAACAGACCAAAATACTAACTTAACATGGGAATAACCTGACCCACACAAATTGGCAAAGATCCATGAAAAAAATGTGGTTTGGATCAAAGGCAGCAATACCTGAAAGCAACATTTTTCAGAATGGCAATAAAATCAGCTAGACTGGCTTTCTTCCCCCGTTTATTCATTCACGAGATGGGGGCGTCACTGACTAGACAACATTTATTGCCCATCCCTAATTGCCCACAGGACAATTAAGAATCAACCACATCGCTGTGGGACTGGAGTTACATGTAGGCCAGACCAGGTAAGGATGGTAATTTCCTACCCTAAAAGGACATTAGTAAACCAGGTGGGTTTTTCTGACAATTAACAATGGATTCACGGTCAACATTAGACTCTTAATTCCAGATATTTTACTGAATTCAAACTCCACCATCTGCCATGGCAGGATTCGAACCTGGGTCCCCAAAATGTTACCTGGGTCTCTGGATTAATAATCCAGTGATAATACCACCACGCCATCGCCTTCCCCTAAATGGCTGAATGGGAAGTGTCAAGGGATCCTCATATCCTTTTTGATTTAGAGTCATAGATTCATGGAGATATACAGCATGGAAACAGACCCTTCGGTCCAACTCTTCCAAGGCAACCAGATATCCTATATAAATCTAGTCCCATTTGCCAGCACCTGGGCCATATCCCTCTAAACCCTTCCAATTCATATACCCATCCAGATGCCTTTTAAATGTTGTAATCGTACCAGCCTCCACCACTTCCTCTGGCAGCTCATTCCATACATACAGCACCCTCTGTGTGAAAACGTTGCCCCTTAAGTCACTTTTATATTTTTCCCCTGTCACCTTAAACCTATGCCCTCTAGTTTTGGACTCCCTCCCACCCTGAGGAAAAGACCTTGCCTATTTACCCTATCCATGCTCATGATTTTATAAACCTCTATAAGGTCACCCGTCAGTCTCCGACGCTCCAGGAAAAATAGCCCCAGCCTATTCAGCCTCTCCTTGTAGCTCAAACCCTCCAACATCGTTGCAAATCTTTTCTGAATGCTTTCTATTTTCACAACATCCTTCCTTTGGGAGCGAGAGCAGAATTGCACGCAATACTCCAAAAGTGGCCTAACCAATGTCCTGTACAACTGCAACATGACCTCCCAATGCCTATACTCAATGCGCTGACCGAACGCCTTCTTGACTATCCTATCTACCTGAGGATTCACTTTCATGGAATTATGAGCCTGCACTCCAAGGTCTCTTTGTTCAGCAACACTCCCCAGGACCTTACCATTAAGTGTACAAGTCCTGCCCTGATTAACCTTTCCAAAATGCAGCAGTTCACATTTATCTAAATTAACCTCCATCTGCCACTCCTTGGCCCATTGGTCCATCTGACCCATTGTACTCTGAGGTAACCTACTTTGCTGTCCACCTATACCATTATGAGAATATTTACATATTGGAGATGAAACCTCACCTGCAATTATCAACCCTTTTACAAGAAGCTATTTTTGGCAGACTAAAGGAGATGGAATCAAGAATGCAGAACTGAACACAGACCACGAAGGCTCTTTGCCTCTCAAAATTAAAGAACCTAGTTTGACTGCACTGACTGCGAAGAAGCATGAGAGAACCAAGAACTCCAAAGTTAACTTCAATACCTGACTGCTGATAACCTCCAAGAAAACAACCAGCTAACTGTGGTTGCACATTAAAACCCTAAGCCTCAAGGACAGTCAAAGGATTTAGACTGTATTTACTTCATCATTCTTTCTACTGGACATAATCCTCTTTTAACTTCCTAGCTGTGTACGTGTCTGTGTGAAGGCACAATGACTGGATTAAAGGCCATATGTTTGATGTGTATTATTTTTCTCAGGGTTAGCAGATACTAAAATTGTTCTTTTACTCACCCAAGGAAACATCGTGATGGCTTGCTCGCAGTACAAAAAAAATGTTAGCTATATTTTAATTGGAGAAAGCCTCGTCCTAGAAGAATCTTAACTTTGTTGCGACCAACCAAAAAGGAGTTAGTTCCCCCCTTTTTTCAGAACAGGGTATAAAGGAACTAACACACTGTGCAGCATCATGTGTGCTATAACTATACACAACTGTTGTTGTGATTAAGTGCCTCAAGTGGGAGTGGAAAGTTATTCCAGCACAGATATCAACCCTTGCTGCAATCTGCATAAAATTTATCACAGAAAATAGAACAAACTTCTTTAATTTCAACAGGAAATCTTCCTCTCTCCTGCCTACCTGCTGCAACATATATAAAGGAAGTGTTTGTTCACAGTATGTTTCCATCACTTTTTAAAAAATGAACAAGTGCCTACAGCCATTATATTGAAAAACAGGCAAGACTTCATTTCCAGTTAAAGCCATGTCATTTTTCGTACAAGTACTACTTTACAGTATTAATTCAAAACTCAGTGATCAGACCTACGACTTGTAAAAACATGCAATTTCCACAGATACTTCAGTATTTCCAGCATTTGTTTTTTCTATAGTGATAGTCAGCTACTTTTCACTCCATTACTCTACGGTCGAGTAGCTCGTTGTTTATCCTTTGATTTGGTTTCCATTAACTCATTAATTGCACAAGGTTTTGGCCTTAATCCAATGCTGTTCCTAAAATAGTGCATATTGAATGGAGATGGCTATTTTCCTCAAGATTCCACTCTTCAGGTTGCACTTTGCAATTTCAGATTGTTCATAACTTCTGGTCTTCACAATGAAAAAGAATTCACAAAATACCTCTCCCCCATGCTTCAGTGAACAATGAAAATCTAAACTCTTTCCATCATTAGAAAGCTTCTCCTACAAGTTGATATAATGAGTGGAATCCTACAGGGGTCTGTGCTGAGGCCTTAATATTTTGCAATTTACATCAATGACTTTGATGTGGGGAGCTAAACTCGTAGATGACACCAATACAGGAATAGAACTATGCTGTGAAGACGACAAAAGGAGGTTGCACATGGATATAGTTAAATTGATTAACGTGCAGATTGAGTATAACATGTGAAAACAAAGTTCTGAGGAAGGGTCCGAACCCAAAATATTAATTCTGATTTTTCTTCACAGATGTTGCCAGACCTGCTGAACTTTTCCAGCAACTTCTGTTTTTGTTCCTGATTTACAGCATCCACAGTTCTTTTGGTTTTTCAAACACAAAGTTGTTCATTTAGGCAGGAAGAATAACAAAGCAGAGTATTAAATAAATGGAGAACCACTGCAGAATTCTGAGTTACAGAGGGATTTAGGTTTTCTAGTGCATGAATCACAAAACATTATATGCAGATACTTCAGATAATCTAGAAGGTTAATAGGATGCTATTCCTAACACAAAAAAGTATTACAGAATTGAACATAACAGTAAGGATGTTATGCTTCAGTTATATATGGCATTAGCAAGGACGAGACCACATCTCCAACACTGTGTGCACTTTTGATTTCCTTATTCAATGGAAAGATGTAAATGCACTGGAGGCACTTCAGAAGAGGTTTACAGGATTGATACCTGGTATAAGCAGGTTGACTTATGAGGAGAGGCTGGCTGGAATTATTGGTGTTTAGAAGAAAGGAATGACTTAAAGCGTATATGATCCTGAATGGTCTTGACAAAGTGGATGTAGAAAGGTGTTTCCTCTTGTGGTTCAGTACAGAACTAGAGGGCACAGCTGCTTTTTCAGGACATTGAAGAAAGGAACTTATTTTGTCTGAGGGTTGAGACTCTTTGGAACACACTATCTCTGAAGGCTATTAGGGGTGGGGTCACTAAACGTTTTGTACCACGGGTAGACAGACTCTTGATAAGCAAAGAAATTAAAGATAGGAATATAGAATTTGAAATACAAACAGATTAACCATTATTGAATGACAAAGCAGGCTTGAGAAGCTGAAGGAAGGGTCTACCTCTGGTCCTGTTTTGTGCATTCAAAATGTTCTACACCTTGGAGTTTTTCCGACCTACTGACATTATTGACTCGGTCTCTGACCTCCAACAGAACTCCCATATATGTATTGTATGATCCCAGACCAGACCACCAAGTTTGTGTTAGGAACCTGGACTCGATCACCAAATTATGTTATGACCAGTTTCGGGACAAATAACTTTTATATTTTAGAAGTAGACAAATGTGAGAAAGTGGGCTTACAAAGACAATAAAACCACAAGGTTCCAATCAAATAACAATACTTCAAAGTTACAACATTAATACAATCTACATCCCATGTATAACCTAGTTCTAACATCCAGAAATAACATCTGATAAACACGGGTAATATACTGTGATCAAATGCCCCATACCACATCAAAAAACCAATGTGATCTACACAGATATCATGCATTTCTCAGCATCTCCCCTCAGACATTTATGAAAGAGCGGATCACCAAAATTAATTAAGCGGCACAAGAGATTGTAATTATTTTTTTCTTTTTTCCAGGTTGGCCTTGAAACTCCATTTTAAGAGCGATTCTGTTATTGACTACCTCAATGGCTGCCCCGGTTCTGGTCAATCATCCTCTTTTCCACGGTCTCCTGGACTCAGTTTTTCACTGACAGATAACCCAACAAGCTAGATCTGTTGCTGGGTTTTCCCTGACCTCCAAATCTTGCCCTGTTGCCTCAAGAATATGCTGTTTGGGCACCTTTTGCACCACTCTCTGCCGTACAGAACTACTAATTGTGCACAATCTTCTTTTAAGTCCTTCACAGCTCTTAAGCTTTCTCTGAATTCTTATCGCCCAGAGCTATTCAAGTGCTGTAGAACCTTCTACAAGTCCTCACTACACAAAGTCCGTGTAGTTCAGCTTCCTTATGCAGCACAGTTAATAACAGTATTGCTTAAGGAGTTGGTTCTGGCTGTTTTTCCTTCTCCAATTCTGTGACCCTAGAACTACTGTTCAGTGACCCCTGAACTGCCCTGTGTGACCTATTGAAAATCTTGCAATTAGTCGCACTTCTTGCTCTAGACAGAATCGCATGTAATTAATTTTGGAACGGTCGAATACAGCAAACACTTGGAACATTTGCTTTCAGTACAAATTGCATACAACAAAAAAAAACAGGAATTGTTAACGACGTGCTAGATTAAACCCGGTTTCCTCTTCACATCAAGCAATTCTTATATCTCTATGAAACCTCAAATTTTTACGAAATGATGAATACAACAAAGCAAAGCAGTCTTCATCGGGGAGCAATAGGGAGATTTGTACTGTCTTCAAAATTATGAAGAGTTTTGATTGATTGAAATAGCAGAAGTTTATTTGCTGTGGTTAGGAAATCAATAACAAGGAGAAAATCAATTTAAAGCCATTCCCAGAAATAAATGGTACCAGGACTAAGTGAGAGGAATCCAAAGTTAATTTCTTTACATAGTTGGTTGCAGAAGGACAGAATGCTTTGTCTGAAAGTCAATGTAGTTCCTGGAGAACAACGAGATGAATTTTCTGATGAAGGGTCTAGGCCCGAAACGTCAGCCTCTCTGCTCCTATGATGCTGCTTGGCCTGCTGTGTTCATCCAGCCCTGCACCTTGTTGTCTCGGACTGTGGAAGCAGTGGGATTAGTTTTAGATTGTATTTGTACCAGCTCTTTGCCAAGGTAATGAACTGAATACCTTCCTTTAGTGTTGCGAACTTTTACTGCCCTATGAAATGGTATTAGCAGGAAAGCAGATTCAATAGTTATAACATTCTATAGGATTCCCAGAATCATCTAATAAAGTACGAATTTGAGTCTAACCATGATCCTGTGCATCATGACTCAATGTGATTTGAAATGAAGTAAATGAAGGAAAGCATCCATATTCAAGAGATCAAAGTGTGGGAGCACGTGTCCGACTCTACTATCTTTCATGTTCATTATTCAGTCCTTTAAAACCAGTTTCAATATTTTCCAAATAATTCTTTCATAATGTGGAGATGAACTTCCAATGTGTAGATTAAACTTACCGTCTGATTTCTTCTCTGTGGTCCAAGTGGCTAGCAGAGCGATCTCTTTTGACTAAGGATGCTTCAAAGCCCAGATCCTATTAAAAAAATAAGATTCAGGGCATTTATATAATGTTTATGGTTTTTACAGCTTCGACAAATAATTTAACAGGATTTCTACAGTGAATTATATTCAACTGTGTAAAGAATTTTAATTCATGCCATTAAGAAGGGGAGCATTTATTGACGATCTCCAATTGTTCTCTAGTTAATGGTGGCATCCTTCTTGAATTGTTATAGTGCGTTGTCATGATTTAACTGGGAAGACTGCACACTAATCATACCCAACTATTCATCAAATCATCACAAAAGATACAATTCCATAAAATCCCAATGAGATTATCAAAATAAGCAATTTGTCTGCCAAAATGCTCCTCAGGACAACAGTAATTCACACCAGGTTGCATAGTAACTGAAGTAAATAATGGTTTTTATTGTAATACACTTAATTTTAACAAGACCAGAGGATAAAAGATTTCCGGCTTGTGCAACTCAAACTATACCTTTTCAAAACCACAATTACACACACTTAATCACGAATCACAATTAAGTCACATAAAAAAACAAACTATTTAACACATATACTATGGCTGAAAAATTAACATATACAGGGTAAACAAAATTCTGAAGTCCAGATACAAGTGGAAAGTTATTTTTCTGTCCTTTTGATATCTGCAATGAGATGATGCACTGTTGTCTGTAGGGTGATGATCGACCTTCGGTTTGATGATTGATCAGGTGAACTATAGTATTTTCTTCTAAGAACTCTTTCTTTTAAGCTTCCTCAGTTTTCCTGTCTTTTCTCCACATGGCATGGGAATGGTGGGGGTGGGGGTGGGGGTGGGGGTGGGGGCGCCACGAGAGGACAGCATGAGGGCGAGAAGGTGCGAGGCCATGGGGGCACGAGAGCGAGAGTGAGCGAGTGAAAGCAAACATGAGAGTGAGCGAGAGATAGTGACAGCGCGAGCAAGAGATAGTGACAGCACAAGCGAGACAGCGGGCATGTGAGATAAACCAGAGGGCGAGAGCCAGCACCAAACAGCAGATGACAGCCAGAGGGCAAGACAGAGGCAGTGAGAAAGGGATAGCACGAGCACAAGTGAGAGACAGAGTGCAAGTGGCAGATGGTTGCTGCCTGCAGGCTCTGGATGTTTCTTCTGCTCTTCTGCTCCTGGCACGTGCAGCATTTTAACAACCTTTGGCTTAACCAAAGGGTTGTTGGTTGTTGTCAGGCAGAATTTCCTCGACTCAAAGGACTCCCTGTACTAGTCAGTCAGTCTCACATTTTCCTTCTTACAGTTTCCAAAAGGTAATGCTGCGATGTACAGCTCAATAATTAAAACACTTGATTTCCAAATTGCAAAACTCTCCTGATTTTTCAGTTATATGACTTCAACTTCGATTTCAGTTTACATGAAAAATATGGGTGACTTGCAATGTATTGTTTTCAGGTAGAGAGTTTCAAGATCTCAACTCAGCAACATTGAAGGAACAGTGACAAATATTCATGTCAGGATTACAGAAAATAACGGGGAACTTCCAGCCTACAGTGCTCACATTTATCTATTACGTTTGCCTATCTAGGCGACAGAAACCATGGATACAAGAGGTGCTGTTGAATAAACTTTGGTGAGTTGCTGCACTAATCTTACTGACAGTACACACGACAGTCACAGCAGTAAAGGTTTTCAATATTTAAGATGTCCCCAATATCAATCTATAAATATACACTGAAAACACACCAGGTATGTATTTGTTACCATGTTTATCAGGCATCAGAAACGTACGTAAACGAGATAAGTCTGTGCAGCAGCAGTCAAGTCAAATACAATTAACATGACACTGTGCTCAGGCAATTTTAGGGGTGATACATGCACAAAGACACTGCATCAAGAAACACAAGGTGCAATAATAATAAATTATAAAGGGTCTTCAAACTGTCAGTTAATAACAGAGAAGATTAAAATCATCAAAACTCACCTCAATGCATTTGATGACATCACGAGGGCCAATGCACTCTGTATCAAATCTGATGTGAGCTTTATTGGTTGCAAGCGCCACTGATGTATAGAGTATACCTTTGGTTTTCATCAGTGTTGACTCAATATTATGAACACACGAGGCACAAGTCATTCCTCGCACCTAGGTAAAAGTTAAAAAATCATGATAGAAAGGTTTTGTTGAGATAGCAAAGAGGGTTGAGAAGGGTGATGCGGTTGACATCATGTACTGGACACAGATTTCTGAAAGATATTCATAAAGTGCCACATAACAGACTTGCCAGTAACTTCAAAGCCTCATGAAATAAAGGGTATGTTGACAGTATTGTTGGCTGAGTGATAGGAAACTGTGGTAATGAATTGTTGTTTTTCACACTGATTTAAGATATACTTTGCATTCCCCAATGGTTTGCACGAGGATCTCTGCTTTGCTGGATCTATATTAATGATTATAGTTGATGTGGTGGGCACAAGTTTAAAATTCACAAAAGGCACAACTTGAAAGTAATGAACAATGAAGGGGACACTGATAGACTTCAAAAGCACATAGACAAAGTGAATGACCATCTCCAACAAGACAGAACCTAACCATTAGCTCTTGACATTCAGAGGCAATACCATCACCAAATCCCCAACTATCAACATTCTGGAAATTACCATTGAATGAATGAATGAATGATTTTATTGTCACACGTATTTTACAGTGAAAAATACAGCGAAAAATACTACCTCTGAGTAAAATACAGTGGAAAGCTTCCAAAGTTATGATGATACCAGCACCATTTTGAATAGACCAGAGGGGTCAACAAAGGTTGCCACAAAAAAGGTTGATACACCAGGTAAGATCACAAACAGTAATTTATTAGCTTGGATAGAGGGCAAGCTAATCAACAGAAAGCCGACAGTTCGGATAAATAGCTCTTTTTATGGGTTTGCAAACCATAATTAACGGAGTGCCACGGAGTTCGGTCCTCAGGCCCGTACTATTTACAATCTATAGTAATAACTTGGATGCAGGGATGGAAAGTACTACCGCTAAATTTGCCGACGACAATAAAGCAAGTTGCACTGAGAAAATAAGAAACCTACAAATAGATATGGATAGATTAGATAAATGGGCCTAACAACTCTGGGTGTCCTCACGCATGAATCACAGAAAACTAGTGTGTAGGTATAACAGGTAATAAGGAAGGCAAATTGAATTTTGGCATTTCTTGCTAAAGGAATAGAGTATAAAAGTAGAGGAGGGTTGCTGTAAATTTATAAGGCATTCACGAATACACACCTGGAGTACAGAGTACAGTTGTGGTCCCCTTACCTGAGGAAGGATGTATTTGTATTGGGGGCAGTTTGGAGAAGGTTTGTTAGATTGATTCCAGAGATGAGGGATTTGTCTTATAAAGAAAGGTTGAGCAATTTAGGCTTATACTCTGTGGTGTTTAGAAGACCGATAGGAGATCTAATTGATGTGTAGAAGATGCTAAAGAGGATTGACAAAGTAGATGTAGAAAGCATGTTTCCTCATGTTGGGCAATCCAGAACGAAGTCAAAGTTTTAGCTTAAGAAGTAGCAGATTTAAACCAGAGATGAAGAGGAAATTACTTCTCTCAAAAGGGGTCATGAATCTGTGGAATTCACTACCCTCAGAGTGATGTGGATGCTGGGACATTGAGTACATTTAAGGAGGAGATAGACAGATTTGTAATGGGTTAAAGGGTTATGGGGAGTGAGCAGGGAAGTGTGGTTGAGGCCGAGATTAGATCAGCCACTTTCGTATCAAATGGCGGGGCAACCTCAAGGGGCTGAAGTGCATACTCCAGGTTCTAGCTATTATGTTCCAGAAAGTGAACTGAACTATCCATATACATACAGTGTCTACAAGTGCAGGAATCTTACGGCAAGTAACTCACTTCCTGACTCCCCAAAACCTGTCCACCATCTATAAGGCACAAGTCAGAAGTATGATGGAATACTCCCCACTGCCCAGATGGGTGCATCTCCAACAACACTCAACACGCTCAGCACCATCTAGGACAAAGCAGACTACCTGATTGGCGCCACATCCACAAACATCCACTCCTCCATGACCAACACACAGCAACAACAGTATGTACCATTTAGAGGATGCACTGCAGAAATTCGACAAAGACCCTTTGACTGCTCCTCCGAAACCCACAACCACTTCCATTTGAAAGGACAAGGACAGCAGACACCTGGGAAGAGCACCACCTGCAAGGTCCCCTCGAGGCCGCACACTATCCTGACTTGGAAATATATCGTTACTCCTTCAGCGTTGCTGGACTAAAATTCTGGAACTTCCTATCTACAGCAATGGACAGCTATGGTTCAAAAGGCAGCTCATCATCAGCTTCTCAAGGACAAAAGGTTTGGGCAGTGATGGCCCAGTCCATTACATCGCGTGAATGAATTTTTTAAAAAGTAGCCAATAACATTTAATGCAGAGAAGTGTAAAGTGAATACTTGTAGTAGTAAAGAGAAACATAGGCAACAAGTAAAAGATATAATTAACAAGGCAACGCAGGGGCAAAGCGACTTTTTTAGTATATGTGCACAAATCACTTAAGGTGGTAGGGTATGTTGAGAAAGTGATTAATAAGGAATATGTGATTCTGGGCTTTATAAATAGGGGCATAGAGTAGAAAAGCAAGGACTAGCAGTGAATCTTTATAAATCATTCATTCATCTTCAACTGAAATAGTGTGTCCAATTCTGGGCACTGTACTTTAACAAAGATTTGAAGGCTTTAAAGACAGATCAGAAAAGAATTATTTGAATGGTTCTGTGGATGAGGGACTTCAGGTAGGAGGACAGACTGGAAAAGGAAGATAATTCGATAAAGATGTTCAAAATCTTGAGGAATCTGGATGGAGCGGATATAGAAAACCAATCCCATTTGCTGGCGAAAGGGTCAAGAATCATAACTCACTCATATAAGGCTAAGATCTGGAGGGTACTGTCAGAAGCGGTGGTGGCAGATTCATTCATGGGTTTCAAAGGGAAACTAGATAATCATCAAGGAAATAAAGGCTGAGAGAAAGGATAGAAGATTAAGACAAGTTGAATTGCTCTTACACAGAGCTAGAATGGATACATGGATCGATTGACCTTTCTCTCTGCTGTAATCATATGATTCTACAAATTACTTCTTGGAAACCATTAAACTGCAAAAGTCGAGGTGGCTCTTGTTCAAACCACAAACATACTTATCTAGAGGAGAACTCATCTGTGGCCCAGTGTTACTGGCTCACCGACCAGGCATTGCAAGAATTAGCTTGCTCCATCATGGAAGATGGGGAAAGGTGAACAGTAACAACCTAACTCTGCCAGCATACGGTACACCTTCAGCAGAAAAGTGCAACAATTCACCCCTCAGATTTCTCCACACCAGTCACCATTTTGCTCACTGATTATCGCACTTGAGTAACTGAACTTATAGATAGCGTCACAGTTCCCGCAACATCAATTTAAAACATCTAACAGATCAGGGGTAGCACTAGTTATGTATCGCACTGTGATTTTTTTTTTTGAGTGGTTGGAATTCCTTCCCTTGAAGCAGTGAACAATTTAGCAATATTTGAACTGAATACTCACAACAAGTTCCAACTGACCATCTGATCCATCGTAGTCCTCCAACACAGAGGCTCCAAAGCCCAGCTCCCTTATTAAGTCTGCAATATCTGGGGGCTTTACGATACCTGGGTTATACCTCACTTCTGCTTTTCCAGCCATTAGAGCAACCAATACAGAATATATCCCTTGACAGAATCAAAAGTAAAAAACTCACATTAAACTACAACAGTACAGCTCAAGCTGAAAAGCTCAAAATAATTTCAGCATTTGTGCTCATTTACCATCAACACCCACATGCTGCTAACACTTCTCAAATACGGCCAGATTTGCTTTTTTTTTGATTAATAGAAATAAAAATGCAGTCCAGGATCCCAAGTCTCCAGTGATCTCAGATAAAGTAACAGTCTGGGCTCTGTGCTCAGTCTCAGAACATGTTGATAAGTGATTAAAATTTCCTATAAACACATACAAATTTTCATCCAAACACTTCCCACGCAGACATCCCTTGAGGGTTTGATCTTTTGTGTTGGAGGAACAGAATGCCCTGCTGGGAACTTAACAATATAATTATTTAAATCATTCAAGAAATGCACAAGCCCACATCAACTCCAGTCTCCCAGCCTGCCTCAATCCCAGCCAATCTCCCAGCCATGCCTACTGACATAACAGGTCCACAGCGGATGCCATATCCTTAGCCCTGCACTCATCCCTGGAACATTTGGGCAACCTAACATCAGACTCCCGCTCATTGACTACAGCTCCACCTTCAACACCATTATCCCCTCCAGATTGATCTCAAAACTCCATGACCTTGGTCTCAGCTCTGCCCCCTGCAAATGGATCCTAAGTTTTCTGACCCACAGACCGCAGTGAAGATAGGTAACTGCAGCTCCTTATCTTTCTCACATTAAGTCTTCAATCTTTAACCCTTCATACAAAGATTTCAGCTTTTCGATATCATCAGTTCTACTATTGGGACTGCATTTTTTTCAGTCTTTCCATCGCTTAAGTAAGCCACCCAATTTGCGCCAGCTCCTCTTTATAATTTCACTTTGCTGGAGTTGAAATTCATCAAGTATTTTCCAGCTATATCTCACGTATTATCAGAACCTCAAAACTGGGTGAATTAATCTTGTATTTTCCCTGCTCACAACGTATGTTTCCACCTGGCTTTGGATTATCTGCAAACTTGGAAACTTTAGTCTCCACATCCAAATAAATCAATATATATTTGAACAGCAGGGATCAAGGGCTGATCCTTGTGGTACTCCACTTGTCACAGCATGCCAACACAAGAGTGACCCATATTATCCTACCCTCTATTTCACACCCATTAGCTAATCCTTAATCCATGCCAGTACCTTACCTCCTGTCCCACGTGCTTTAATTCTGCTAATCGACTTCCTGTGGGAAACATCTAAAAATCTAATCACATTAAATCACTGACTTCCCTTTATTAAATCTCTAACTTATATGCTTTAAAAAATTTCAGACTCAGCAATCATGATTTTCCATTCTTTCTATCTCTTCACCTTTGTTGTTAATGCAGATTGTAAATAGCTAAAGCCTCAACACCGACTCGTGACACTCCACTATTCGTCATCTGTCAACTTGATAATGTCATATTTATGTCCAATGTCCACTTCCTGTCTGTTAACCAATATTCTATCAATGTTCATATTATACCCAAAAGGAAAGCTGCAGGTGAACTACACAATGCCAATAATCAGTAGCTTCAGGTGTTGAGGGAAAAGAAGGAACCACTCTTGCTCAAGAGAGTGCTCCAATTGGCGAGATTTCAGAGGGAGGAGAGAAGAAACCAAAATTAAGACTTGAAACACATTTGTAGTAAAAAAAAAGTCCAATAGAAGATATAGAATAAATTTCTTACCATCTTCCTGCTTCAAGTTCCTCTCAATGTTAGCCACACATGATGCACAGGTCATGCCAGTAATCTGAATAAAGCATTTTTCTGGCAGTGGAGCTTCTGTGTTCTGCTGAACGATGCTCAACTCCTGCATCTCTCCTTGCATGGAGACCATCCCAGTTTCACATAGACCATTCCTCATGTTTTTCCCTTTAACAGAGACTTTTGGGAAAACTTCTGTTGGTAACACTGCAGGTTCTGTACTTGCTGCAATACAATTTGCGTAACATTTTCATTACATTTTGCATTACAAAATGTGTATTAGAATTCATCAAGACCATAACAATTCCACTTTCTCACTTGTCAGATATTAAGTGGAGTCACTCAGATACAGTACACTATTATAATGCAGGGCCTCCCTACAGAGTATTACATTTTATCGTTGGTTCCAGAAGAGTTGCCCTTTTACACTTGGGTAACATTTCCATTTCATGCATCAACCATCATTTAAGGAGCTTGCCACTGTATTACTGCCATTCTGCTTACTAGGAACGGCAAAGTTGATGTAAAACTAAACCATATAGATCCTTACAACTAACTAAAGAGCTTGAGAGTTTTTTTTCATTCATTCACAGCATGAGGAAGTTGCTGGCTAGACCAGCATTTATTGCCCATCCCGAATTGCCCAGAGGGCAGTTAAGAGTCATCCACACTGCTGTGTGTCTGGAGTCACATATAGACTAGACCAGGAAAGGACGGCAGGTTTCTTTCCCTCAAGGACATTAGTGAGCCAGATGGGTTTTTCTTACAATCGACAATGGTTTCATGGTCATCATTAGATTCTTAATTCCAGATTTTTATGGAATTCCATCATCTGCCAGGGTGCGATTTGAACCCGTGTCCCCAGAACATTACCCAAGTCTCTGGATTAATAGTCCAGTGATAATACCACTAGGCCATCAGCTCCCCAAGACAAGTTTAAAATGGTTTTAAATTGTGTCAGTGGAAGGAGAATGCACATTCTACTTTGCACAGAAATCCTTTCATAAATGACTCAGATGCTAGGGAAGAGATTGCTGGGCCCCTTGCTGAGATATTTGTATTATTGATAGCCACAGGTGAGATGCCGGAACACTGGAGGTTGGCCATTGTTGTGCCACTATTTAAGATAGGTGGTAAGGAAAAGCCAGTGAACTATAGGCTGGTGAGCCTGACATCGGTGGTGGGCAAGTCGTTGGAAGGAATCCTGACGGGCAGGATCCACATGTATTTGAAATAGCAAAAACCAATTAGGGATAGTCAACGTAGCTTTGTGCATGGGAAATTATGTCTCACTAACTTGATTGAGTTTTTTGAAGAAGGAACGAAGAGGATTGATGAGAGCAGAGCATTGGACATGATCTATATGGACTTCAGTAAGGCATTCAACAAGGTTCCTCATGGTAGATCACATGGAATACAAGGAGAACTAGCCATTTGGATAGAGAACTGGCTTGAAGGTAGAAGGTGGTGGTGGAGGGTTGCTTTTCAGACTGGAGGCCTGTGACCAGCAGAGTGCCAAAAGGATCGGTGCTGGGTCCACTGCTTTCTGTCATTTATGCAAGCGATTTGGATGTGAACATAGGAGGCATGGTTAGTAAGTTTGCAGATGACACCAAAATCAAAAGGTGTAGTGGACAGCGAAGAAGGTTACCTCAGAGTACAATGGGATCTTGATCAGATGGGCCAATGGGCCAAGGAGTGGCAGCTGGAGTTTAATTTAGGTAAATGTGAGGTGCTGCATTTTGGAAAGGCAAATTAAGGCAGGACTTATACACTCAACGGTAAGATCCTGGGGAGCGTTGCTGAACAAAGAGACCTTAGAGTGCAAGTTCATAGTTCCTTGAAAGTGTAGTCGTGGGTAGACAGGATAGTGAAGGCGGCGTTTGGTATGTTTGCCCTTATTGGTCAGTGTATTGAGTATGGGAGTTGGAGGTCATGTTGCAGTTGTACAGGACATTGGTTAGGCCACTTTTGGAATACTGCATGTAATTCTGGTCTCCCTGCTATAGGAAGGATGTTGTGAAACTTGAAAGGGTTCAGAAAAGATTTACAAGGATGTTGCCAATGTTGGAGGATGTGAGCTACAGGGACAAGCTGAATAGGCTAGGGCTATCTTCCCCGGAGTGTCGGAAGCTAAGGGGTTACCTTCTAGAGGTTTATAAAATCATGAGGGGAGTGGATAGGGTGAATAGACCAGATCTTTTCCCCAGAGTGGGCGAGTCCAAAACTAGTGGGCATAGGTTTAAACACAGAGGGTGGTGTGTGGAATGGGCTGCCAGAGGAAGTGGCGGAGGCTGGGACAATTAAAACGCATGTGGATGAGTATGAGAAGGAAGGGTTTAGAGGATTACTGGCCAAATGCTGGCAAATGGGACGAGATTAATTCAGGATATCTAGTCAACATGGACGAGTTGGATCGTAGGGTCTGTTTTTGTGCTGTTAGCTTTATGACTCATAGCAAGTTACAGTTCTCGTTGCCCTGGTATCTCATCCAAGCCATGAGTCTTCACAGTGAGCATTTACAGACTACTGACTAAAGAAATGAGACATCACAGACAAGCTTGACTACTTTTTCAAATAGTACACTCACTTTCTGCAGGAGTCAAACATACAGAACGTGGCCGTAAGAGACTCAGCTTATTTCTCTCCTCAGGTTAACTTTATAGCCCTGGAAGAAGTACCTCTTGACATTCTGGTCAAGATCGGTGAACTCAAGATTGTCTGCAAGCTCACATTTGTAGCTGACCGAGGCTGCATAGCCCTCTTCTATCATTTGCAGTGCATTAACTAAGTAGGGCTTGCTTCCTATGTGAGCAGAACACTAAAAGATTTCCTTAACATTTGGTCAAGAGATACACAAACTTAACAGGGTAATATCAGCATTCTAACGTTACTGCATAACTCAAATTCTCTCTTGACGGTACTGTATCTAAGCAAAGCGCACTCTAAACAAAGAAGAAACAAAAACAACAGGACTTCCCCTCTAAACATGGCATGCTGACAGGAGGCACGAATAGGAGTGGTAATGATCTACGAAGCAACAATGCAACTCATCCTTAAGATCAAGAGACTCAGGAAGGATGATCAATAAGGGTGTACAGAGTTTTGAAATTGAAAAAACTAGATAGGAAAATTTATTTTTAGATTACAAAACATTACCAGGAAGAATGGCATCAAATCCCATATCATCTATCATCTCCCTCAGTTCCTCAGGATTGGTAAATAGAGGATCATATTCCACAACTCCATTGTGCTGTGTAAGAGAAACATGAATTGAGATCACTCCACTTTTGTTTGAAATATTTTCTTCGATAGTTTTCACACAAGAATCACAATTCATTCCTTTAATATTAATCACGGTCACACTGCTCAACTGATGCCTCCTTGAATCCACGGAACGTATCTGTGGTGAAGTTACTAAAGGATGTTCAGTAACACTGTGTGAAGACCTGGCATCATGACATTCATTACGGAGTGAAACTTTGAAATTTCCAGGTGGCAAGGCCTCAATAGCCTGCTTTAAGGCATTTGGAGTAATCATGGCTGAGTTGTACTGTATCGTGGCACCCCTGGATTCCAAAGAAACCTTGATGTTGTGTACAGCTGGAAGTTCTGACAAGTTACTCTCAATGTTCGTTACGCAGGAATTGCAGTGCATGCCATCTATTCTGAGGATCAAGTTTGTGAATCTGTTATTCACCTCCCGTGGATCGGCTTTGGTCACCTGAGTTGCATTTATTAGGCGTTCAATGTTAAGATCAAGCTTCAGCGGTTTGGCCTTGGTTTTGATTGTGGCATTGAATCCAGCACTTTCGATTTGAGTCCTGAGGTCCTCTGGTGTGATGAGGTGGGCTTGGTACACAATTGTGGCTTCTTGACTATTCAAAGAAACTTAATAGTTAAAAAGAAACATTTGGTTAATATTAATTAAATTCATTAAAGTAGTCTTTAAATTTTGTAAGCTTAGATAAAAGATCTTATAGAACATGAATTTTTTGATAAAATAGGCCAAAACATCCTACCCTCTCGATGGTGCGATAGATAAAAACTCAGATTTTGCACTAGGCCACAGCAAGCAGAAAGTCTCTGGATTAAATCCAAGCTGAGACCAACAAATTCAACAGAATGAGAAACTCTAATTGGACTCCATGTTTTTGGGTGAGAGGTGAAAAACAAATAAGAAGTCCATGCTTTGACTGCAATATGGTCAAGAGTCCATTTTGAGCACACCAGCCAAGAATATAATCATGCTCAACTCTCCCATCTTCACATAGACCATGATTCAGTTAATGTTTATCATCCATGCTCACATTTGAAGAACGCCTCTTGGCCAAAATACCAGAGGGCTCCCAGTACCTGTGGAACTGAGCCTGGCAACAGTCAGCACCTCAGCCAAACAGCAAGTGCCAACAAAAAAAACAAGGAAATTGTCCCACAGTTCAACGAACATCTTTATATTTAAAGAGTGATGCTTTATTAAAATAGAAGCTACCATCTGAAATTTTAATCTACGTTTTCTTTGTAATTTTCACATGTCCATTCAGTTCTATTTATAAATCACCTTCCATTTTTTCTCTCTAATTATTTTCCAATAATTTGGACCAGAAAAATCATACATTTTCAAACACTAAACAAGCCTTGTAATATTGTATACCTCCCTCACCCAGTTACATGATGCAAAGTCATGCAGCAAAACACAGAACAGCACCCAGGCATAACTAAAATAGCCAGGAAATGCAGAATAAATTGAAAAAAATCTTCAGCACATACAATAGTTAGATATTTATGGCTTTTGTCAGATTTGAGATAGATGGCAAATAGTCTCCAAAATCAATTACAGAAAACTATACTATAGTTAAAACCGAAAAATCTGTGGATGCTGTAAATCAGCAACAAGAACAGAAATTGCTGCAAAAACATCTGTGGGAAGAAATCACAATTAACGTTTTGATCAAGTGACCCTTCCTCAGAACTATATTCTCTTGTTGTTGGGGATGCTATCAAGATGAGCAAGAATAGTTACTAATGCATTCATTGAGAATGTTCATACTGGAAAGCACTCCTGTCCTCTGAAATGCAAATGTAACTATGATCCCATTCATGTTGCTGTGAGCACTATCTTGCCATTGTTTGATTAGTAAAATCAGGTAATTAACACATGTATCACTATGTTGTATCTAAAGATTTACTTTTAGCAGTAAAGATTTCTTTTTAAAGACAAATAAACTGCCTCCCCTGTAGAGGCAACAAATGAATTTACAAACTCTAACTCAGAGCAAAGACACAATACAGTGCCTTGGTGTTTGCTTGTAACCCAATTAAACCACATGAAATCTACTTCAGCTTATGTGTTTGAGTAAACTCAACTCTCCTATTGTAGGCAGAGGAAACCCATTTTGATTTGTTATTTTACCTGTTCTGTAACCTCCTTTGCTCATCCACTTAAAAGAACAATATTGGCAGAGCTATTTGGTCAGAGCAAATGTCTACCTGTCAGTACCAAGAAAGCTGCAAAGAAACAATGACTTTCTTTAAGATCACCTTTAATGCGCTGAACACCTTGTAGCTTCCCAATTTTGCCTTCAATCGTGCTGCAACAGGAATGACAAGTCATTCCTTCAACCCTCATCTTCACCACCATTTCACTGCCTTGGATCGACCACGTATCTTCAGACATTGACAACTTCTTGTCCACTGGAGAACCGTCCATCTTTAAATCAATGATTTCCTCTTTAAGACTTGCTGTAGTGGGGATAAAGGCGAAGGCTGAATCATTTTCATCAAGTAACTTTTTTCTCTCTGTGTCATTAGTATTGGGCACTGTGTTTACAATCTTGTGGTCAGGCTGAGGAGCGAGTCCCCTTTCATTACTGAGAAGGGGTAATTCTTGGGGGATAAGCACTGGACTTGTGTCTATCAACGTAGCTTCAAATCCTATGTCATCGATTGCTTCCTGCAGTGACTCTGGGGTCTGAAACTCTGGATTGTACATGATAGCAGCATTATGGTTTTCAAGTGAGACCTGTACAGAAAAACACAAAAATCAAAGCGCTTTAAAAGGAAAGGGTCAAAAGCCAGAAAGGCAAAAGAAAAATAATTTCAATCCAACAAAGAAAATAAACATTAACATTCCCAACTGCGTAGTAAACTGTTCCGCTGTTCAAGCTTGCAATAGTAATTCACCTGACAGCAAGTACAATGCCTATTTAAAAAGTAAACTCGTGCTTGAAAGCATCTGAAATAAAGAAATAAGTAAATCAGGGCACTTCCAAATTTACCTCACTTCTGCAGATGTCAAATTTAGCAAAACCAAGCTACAAGTGGTCCTCGATTTATGAATGTCTGATTTACAAATGCTTGTATTTAGGAGCAAGATCCCATATTATTAATTTTAAAAACCCAACATGTGAATGTTTGCTCATACTTACAAAAAGCTGTTTATTCTGACTTGTGTACAAATTGACCTACAAACATACCAGGAACAGAACATGTTTGTAAACTGGGGACTGCCTGTATTGCTAATATTTTGCAGAAAACAGCAAAGACAAATAAATGCGATGCTCAGCTTGTCCTTGCCAACATTTAGCCCAACAAAGCTGCTCTAGCATAGTTTTTAATCTATGACCAGCTCCTTTCCAATGAGTAAACATACTTTCTGATGGGATACTGAGCTAATTAGTTAAAGAGATGCCTAATTTGATCCCTATTCCATACTCAGACCCTTTAGATTTCCTCAGGAACACAATTCGCCCGGAATGAGGATCAAACATCAGCGAGAACCTAAACCTGAAGCACAGAAGCACAAAAGAATCCAACTGTATTCTGACGAAAGGTCATTGGACTCAAAACTTCCTCTCTGCTTTCTTCCCAACCATAGATGCTGCCAGACTTGCTGAGTTTCTCAAGCAATTTCCGTTTTTGTCACTGCCCAACTTACTGCACGACACTAAGACTGTTATCTTCCTTTTGAAGAAACCCTTTTCTCCCCCCCTCCTATCCCTCATTCTATCACAGTAAAATCACCTATGCACAACTGAAAACAGGGAACAAAAACCACTTCCAAAAGAATAGACTTCAGGAATAAATTTCAACTCAACAAAATGGACAATAGTCATTTGCTGGATCATTTCTTGGGCAATGCCCTAACCAACCAGACCCAACCTGCCTGGATTAAAATCTAAACAAAGCCTGGCAGTAAACTGTCAATCATCATCAACTACTGCATTCTCCACAACACCACCTCTACTAGTGTCAACTTGACAACTGATCAACACTTTCCTCTCATACAATACAAATACTTATTTCCTCTTTTATTGCTATTCTTGCAAATTATCTCATGAGTGCAAGACAAAAAAAAAGGTGACAAAATGTGTCTTTTCCAGCAACAGCTTTCATAAAAAGTCCATGAATAATTTGGTAGCACAAAACTTGAATGTTGCTGAAAAGAAGTATATGTTAGAGACACGTTACACAGTGGAGTAAGGAACACAGTACAAAAGTAGGTAAATGAGTATAAAAGTAGAGAAGCGCAGGCATTAGTGAGACCCCACCTGGAGTATTGCATACAATTTTGGCTAATGGGTATAGTTTTAAAACAAAGATGAGGAGAATTGATTTCTCTAAAAGGGTCATGAATCTATGGAATTCACTACTGCAGAGTGCAGTGGATGCTGAGACATTGAGTAAATTTAAGGAGGAGATAAACAGATTTTTAATTAGTAATGGGTTGAAGGGTTACGGAGAGCCAGCAGGAAAGTAGAGTTGAGGCCAAGACGAAATCAGTCACGATCATATCAACTGGCACAGCAGGCTCAAGGAGCTGAACTGCCTTCCCTTGCTCCTAGTTCTTATGTTGCCAATGCTTTTCATCTTGTACTAATCAGGACAACGAAAGAAAGTGAAATTTCAAGTTTCAAAAATATCACAGCAATTGATATTACAGGAGCAAAAGATATTGATTGTCTGGCAAGTCACTAATCGGCCAAGGCATTGTCATAGGGAAAACAATGGAGAACTATATACAAACTTAAGATCATCAGTCATGCTCACATATACTTGCAAGTGATAATATATACAGGCACCCGATCGTTACAAACAGAAGGAATGTATTCAAACTTAAACCGCTCTATTGGATTTCCCATGAGTTTAGAGAGGCCACAGGCCCTGTTGATATCTCCATGGCAACACCTCAGCCAGAGTCAACTTGTCTAAATTTGGTGGTTTTGCATTGGTTCTTGAATGCAAGATGAGAAGCTTCAACACCATGTCTTACTATCCAAAATAATGGAAATACAGACCATATGATGCACACACATTAGCATTAGAGATCAATAAAGCAAGATATCTAATTCTTATGAACAGTTTGTGAAATATTAACATTTTTCCCCAAATGTTGACTGACATGCCATGCGTTTTTCACATTTTCTATGTGGCAGGATTTTGACTTTTAAGCCTATTGAATACAACATTGATCTTTTAAAAAGAAAACTAGCTATTTCATGCCATTTACATCTAAAACAGAGCTACACTTGTTAAATCTCAAATCAAATAATCTTTGGCAATATTACAAACTTGTAATTGTTTGCATAGTGTCACTTCATTTTCTGGAAGGAATTTTAGCTTATTGAATAGTTTCATAATTCATCTATTTAAGATCATTATTCCTTTTTAAATAATAATTTCAGGACTAGCTATTTCTTCTTGTTATAATGCCATCTGTCCTTTGTTTAACAGTGAATTGTACAGTACAACAAAATCCTCTCAGCTCATCAACACCACTTCTAACCTAATATAACGCACAAGTGAATGCCAGTGAAAAAGACTGTCCTGTTTCCGAGATAGTGGGAACTGCCGATGCTGGAGAATCTGACTAGATTAAGGCATTTCTGAATGTATATATACCAGAGACATTAACAGGTCTCCTGTATTTTCTCAATTCAATGTCAAACCATTATGGGAGCCCAAAGGTGGTCTCAGTAATTCATAACGAGATGGATCTTGATCCCCTCTTATACTGATTTAATAATCTGATAAAATGGCCACATGTTTGAAGAATATGAAGGTCAGTTTTCTCTGAGGATCGAGTGTCTTTGGAATTCCCTTCCTCAAAAAGCATGAATGCAGAATCTTTCATTTTTTTTTTAAGGCAGAGGTAAATAGATTCTTGATTACCAAGGGGATGAAAGAGTATCAGGAATATACAGGAATGTTGACTTGAAGTTAAAATCAGATCAGCCATGATATTATTGAATGACAGAGCAGGCTCAAAGAGCCAAGTGGTCTACTCTTGTGATTGATCAAATGTCAGGTTCGGCACTAACAACCTGCAAGCCACTGCACACGATGTTGATAAACCATCCCCCAACCCTCAAAGTTTAGGTAAGGTGATAAAAGATTGATGCAATATGGTAACATCTTCCAAGGTCAAGCAGTGTACTAGTAATTATTATCTTGCCTTACACAAAGTACATGGGCAAAAGACTTGAAATCTAAGGAAGGATATACTGCCTTAGGATTGGTACAGAAAAGGTTTGTAAGAGTTGGTCCCTGTTTTGAATCTTTGGAATTCTCTTGCCTCGAAGCCTGGCGATATTCTTTAAGGCTATGTCAGATTTTTGGACTTTAGGGGAATCATGGATTAAAAGGGAACAGGCAGTAAAGTGAAGTTGAAGTTAAAATCAAAATCAGCCATAATCTTACTAAATGATGTTGCAGCTCATACTTCTACTGCATTTATGAAATTATACACCTGAACGAAATATTGATTTTCTGAGGCAGGAAGGTAGAAAGTTCGAGAAAGGGAAAGAGAATTTGGGAGGAACAGAAAATAAGCAGTTGCCATAATTGCTTATATTACAAGTAATACCCACCCCAAGTGAATTTCAGAGCAAATGTGTGATGGTGCAAAATCACTTCAATCTTCCCTCTCAGTTTATCTCAATCATTCAGTGCAATATCAAGTTTGAATTCAAGTGCTACCTTCAGGTTAACATTAATTGATTCAGTTTCACTACTTTGTTATGTTACACTAACAAAATAAGCAAGCACCTCTTCCTGTCCTTTAGTAAAAAGAATAAACTTTGCAGAGTTCAGGTTGAACTTGTAACTAGTGTAGAGAATACAAATCCACCAAAAATAAATATATAAATCTGCACATTAAGTGATTACTTTGTAAAAATAGTAGATGCTCACATTCTCATTAAAATTTGACTGTATTGAAATGTTAATTTGTCTTACATAAGCAAATCCTAATCACACAGCAAGGAAAAATGAAAACCAAAGAAAAATCAGTTCGGTTCTCATAACTATCAGTTGGCAAAAGCCGACTATAAATACCTGAGCTAGTACTCGCGCAAGAACAGGGCTGAAACTGATTTTAATGCTCGCTGCTGGACTAAAAAAATCAATTTTAATTATGTGTCCCCCAATCTGGTCCTCAACAGAAACAGACAGACAGAAAAGTCTATAGATTTGTAAAGAGGACCTAACCTTGTGGCTGGAGATCTGCTGAACTGACATTCTGGATTTCTTTTATGGTCCCCTCTGTGAAGCAGATATCAATCAAGTGAGCAAGAGTCCAGTGTTGTTAGCTTAGGAATCGCCTCACTTTTTAATAAAATGCAGATCAGGGAGTACATGAAACTCAGCAAGGTCTTCAGTTCTTTCACCACATTACAGAAATCTGCAATGTTATTCCAACTTTTTGTTCTGATAACTACCAGACTAAGTCAGTTGTTTGGCTATAATTCTCCACACAAAGCAGCACCTGCTTCAATCATTGAGGTAACAGCTGAGGAAATTTGACAGTCTAACTGCCAAGATAATTTCAATCACTCCACCAAACACCATCTATGCGAGAGATTTAAAAGCATCAGGCTTCAGCTACTTGGCAAATGTTGAACTGCTGCTGGTCAATCTGGAATAAAGTACTGCATCCAGGAAACAGACAATTTTTTTTCATTACAACACCAGTAAAAATGCTCTGTGCTATCGTCAGACGAATCCTCCAATTATTTTGTACCC